AAAAGCCGCGTCGAAATACGAACCGATAGCCCCGAATAATCTGAATCTATTTTAAATGTCTTGAGAATCAGCATTGAGCCCTCACTATTTTTCAAAAGTTTATTTTTTTTTCTGCTTTATCACAACCCAATTTTCACATCTGGGGTTCCCTTAGGTATCGGCAAAAACTTTTTATCGCTGCTCTATTACAAAACTCTATAATTCAATAGTATGAAGTGAGCTGATTACAAATATATCATTTGTTGTCAAAAGAACTTAGGTAATAAGAAAGATAGAAAGGATCTCCTGAAAGCCTTAAAAACTAGCTTGTGATCAGAAACTTCGTTAAAATACGGCTCTATTTCGTCGACAACAGATTCATTTGACACAGAATTTTTTACTCTACCAACAACTATGAGAACGTGTTGAATATTCGATTCATTCTATCGATAATTGGCAAATACCGCACCTATTAGATCTGATTATCTCTCATAATATTTTGTCAGCGTTACAAAATCAGAGTCTCTACAGGTGCCGCGGTCAGACTTTTTTACCTATAGTGCAACTAAGTGTGCTCTTTCTAGTGGCAATGTTTTCCACGTGAAAATTCATATCTAGTAAAGTACTTTTGCTCACAATCCTATTCCTGAGACCTTCTTTGCCTCATTTTTGACTAATATTCTATGGCTTTCGAATAGAAAAACCCCATTTGATTCCACAGAAGTGTCATATCTGAATTTAACACACAAAACTGATTAGGCCTATGTAAACAGAGATGCCCACTGGGTTGGGTGGATATGAGTACCTTTTGAATTAGGGTTTTCATTGGTTAGTCTTAACCCATGCCGGTTGCTTGATGAGACCATTTACAATGGCGGATAAAAGTAGCCCTCCTCCCCCTAAAAGTGATATTATATTCCATCATTTTGAATTCATCTTTTGCGGGAATATCGACCTCATTGAACCCTGATCGCTAACACCGCCATGCCCTCAATTGGTTGGCGTTTGCTGAAGATATCACTTGTACATCGTCATCGCCTTACGAAGGTCACATCTCGATCATTTTTCGACATTCACTTTCTCATAAGCTGTCATTCAAAAGCTCACAGATGCAGATATCATTAGTCGAATTTTGGTGGGAAGTAGCGGAGATCCAAAGTTCTCACTGAAAACTTTTACCAAGTAGAAAATCCTTTTTTTCTCAGTTTGGAATCGATAACTTGAACTAGAATTGATCAATGCAACTTAAATTTCAGCAATGACTCATCATTGAACCACAGGTTTGTGATAAAATTTTCAAAGTCGCAGCTCTATGCAGAGTTGAGATAGAGATATCGAAAGAGTTTAGCATGCCACAGCTTGTCTATCAATGGAGCTACGGTATTATGTGGTGAGCTTTGGATCCAAGCAACTAGGTCTGCAGGAGGACAGCTAGCACCAAAAAAAACAAAAAATTCATTTTAGGAGAACGAAACTGTGAACTAAAAGTTTTTAAGAACGTATTTCTCTTCAATTTCTTCAACCTCCCCGCCTTCTGGTAGCGTATCTATGCACGATATACTTCTCTTTTATGAAACATTTCACCTTAAAACCATTTTGCTGACTTCAGAGAGTTTTCGCTTCATGAAATCAGCCTTTTGTACACGTCCTCTGAATTATTCCGACAAAAAAAAGAGTATTTCCGGAAAGATAAGTGTAAATTCACTAGTATTTGACAGTTCTACTCGCTTAACGGTAGTGCCAACGGTTTATTAAAGGCATGGAGGGAAAATATCATCGCAGAAACTTTTAATTCGCAGTGTTTCGTCATTCTAAAATGAATGTTTGCATTTTTTGGTGCTAGTTGTTACCTTGCTTATATAGCTGCTTGGGTCCAATGGTCGCCACACAATATCGTAGCTCCATTTATAGGCAAAGTGTGGTGTAGTGAATTCTTCCAATGACTATATCTCAGCTTTACATAGATCTGCGACTCTGATTTTTGTACCACAAATCTGTGGATTGGCGATGAGTCATTGCTATCATGTTCCGCTGCATTGATCGATTTTAGCTCAAATTACCGTTCCAAACTGAAAAAAAGGATTTTCTACTTGGTAAGCGCTTTCAGTGAGAACTTCGGATCTCCGCTATTTCATACAAAAATTTTACTAATGATATCTGCATCTCTGAGGTTTCGAATGGCGGGTTGTGCAAAAGTGAATGTCGAAAAATGATCGAGATGTGACCTTCGTAAGGCGATGACGATGTACAAGTGATATCTCCAGCAACCGTCAACCAATTGAGGGCGTGGTGGTGTTTGCGATCAGGGTTCAATGAGGCCGGCATTTCCGCAAGAGATCAATTCGAAATGATGGAATATAATAGCACTTTAGGGGGTCACCTACTTTTGTCCACAACTGTATATAATTCCATTTCCAACCTACGGATAAAAAGTTTCAGATAAATTTTGTGCGTTAACCAAATAGTCAACCTTGGAATAACGCATTAAATAATGCATATTTCATAAAAATTAGTTACGAAACATGTTTTCTAATGGATGTATCGTTAGAAAAGGAACTTTTGATCAATTCAAGTCCATTTTGAACTCGATGAAACGAATCTCGTCGTATTTCAGTAAAATTTTGTACTAAGCCTAGTTTTTAATGGTCCTGGGAATGCTTCCAATCTTTCTTATTATCTGAGTACTTTTGAAAAAAAATTAGATATTTGTAATCAGTACACTCGGTACTATTGAATTTTAAATATATGTAATAGAGCAGTGAAAAAAATGTATTTTTGTTACCTGAGGGGACCCCATATGTGAAAATTTGGATTGTGATAAAGTAGAAAATAAAATTATGAAAAATATTCAGGGGTCAATGCTGACTCTCAATGGAAGAAAATTAGGTTCAAATTCTTTCGAACCTTCGATCCGTAATTCGACACAACTTTTGACGTATTAAAATATGATTAATGTCTGATAATAAGCTAATAAATCGATAACCATCAACTATATACTTTACTTTATGTTATTTTATTACATCTTACTTGTTCTGTAAAGTTAGAGATACTTCACTTTACTTTACTTTACTTTACTTTTTTAAAGGAAAATAAAGTTAAAGCGCCACCCCTAAAAGGAATGAATGATTGTGTATGACAAAGGAAGGGAGAAAATCATATGTAAAGAAAAGAAAATGTCATCGCCTACTTTACATCACAATAAGAATGACGACACAACGTGTACAGAGGCTCTTTCAAACACAAAATTAGTCAGAATGGAGGCAAGACGAAGGTGATATGACATGCGAGAGCACAAAAAGATTAAAAAAAACATTTATTAGAAGGATTCAAGAGAACACACTAGAGAACAACCCCTGATAGTTGAAAGTAAAACATTTTTCTCCAACAAGATAAATATAAAAGAGAATGTTAGTATTGATAATCATTCATTCATTTCGTTAAATACAAGCTGGCAAAGGTCTAAGGTAATGTGCGAAACAAATCTTTTCTCCGTTTTACCTTGAAATGCATTTACTCCTAGTAGAATCTCATCAGCAAAAATAGATTTTTAAAGAATAACTGAGCAATACAGAGGTGAATTCAATGCAGAGATAACTCAAATAGTAGAATGCGTGGTCAATTGATGCCATGTAATAGCATGAAATCTTTTTAGTATATAGCCTCAAATGAGATATGAAAATACATAACATTTTTTTCTTTTGCTCTCCCTATGTACGGTATATATTCTTTCTTCGACTACGTTTATTACAGTTCAGTTTCTTTCGTTGTCTGTAGACAAAGTTCAATCCACTTCATCGAGTGAGCTCACAGTATTCTTAGATAAAAATGAGAATGATCATTGTGGTACCCATACCTTGTATGATTCGCCATTATTTAACAACAAGTAACGTTCATCGACATCGAAAGTCGATTCACTGGGCCCTAGACTGACAGTGCTGAGGAGAAGAAATGTATGGACAGGGCAGAAAATCCGTTGTTTGTGCCAGTAGCTGTTGGCGATATTTTTAAACAGATCTGTAAGCGGGGTGGGAATAAGTGAAACTGAAGTAAGAATTAGACGAAAATTAAAGGTTTCAAGTAAAAGCATTAAAAGGGAAGACGAAAACGGACAGAATGGTACTCAAAAGCGCATAAATCGGCGGAGAGGTTGAGTGTTACCCAGCCAAAAAATACACAGTCTGGAAATTTCGTGATGGTAAGCTCAAAGTTCCGTAGAGAGATCAGCTCACCGCTCCACTCAAGACATATCCAGAGCGGACTGTTTTCCGTGACCATGTCATGCAGTCGCCTATGGTTTCTGCCGTATCAATGCCCTAGGGGCCATCAGATTGGTCATTTGTACCACAGAAATGGTCAATCGTGCCACAGGAATGATCATTTGTACCATAGAAATGGTCCTTTGTACCACAGAAATGGTCAATCCTGCCACAGGAATGGTCATTTGTGTCATTGTTACAGACAGACAGACACACGTGAATTACGGTTTCTAGACCCTATCCTTTCAGTCTAGGGAATATCCTTTCAGTCCAGGGAATAACGTTTTTAGTCATGAACTTGTGCGAGTGTATGCTGCTATAGATACCTATACACTGAAACACTCAAAGACTACTGATGGACCGTAAGACATGATATACGTTATAGCTTCACTTTTATTTCGTCCGTAGCCGCCTAAAGCTGCCCTTTCTTATTTTTGATCATGATATCTTAAAATTTCTATCATCGTTTGCTTTTTTAGTTTTTCAGAAAATGCAATCACCAGCTGATGAAGATACATTGAGGCTGTGTCTCTCAAATATTATCGACGCAATTGATAAATGTATTCAAAAGTTAAAAGATCAAAGACGGGCACCAACAACAACGGAGATACAGCAGCAACCACCATTCGATAACTTGAACGACGATGACATCTTCTCTACAAAGGGCTCTCGGAGTACGGACATCGGTAAAGTCACATTAGATGGTGTGGAAAACGAGCTCCTCGATTCATTGACAGAAGATATCGAGACTGAACTGGGCGAATGTCTCCCAGACCTGACACCAATATGTTTTAATTCTTTTACCGATTTTCTACATCAATATGACTATGATCGAGAGAGGCAGAAATTTTCTTCCACATTGGCAAAAAATGCAATTAGTTCAATGAAACAAGAATTGAAAGGATTATTAGGTAAGTTGACGCCATACTCTTGTTTAAAATACAAGAGCACTGTAGACATTCAATAGCACTAGTCATAGAATTGATTGACTTATTTGGCACTCCTACAAACATACAAAGATCAGTAGTGTCTCATTTTCAGATGAAAAATGAAAATTTAAAATAATGCCATTCACTATTTTAGCATCCAACGCAGCCTTTTTAGCTGCCTCAACTGGCAAACAGGCTATTGTCAAGAGCTTTATTCAAGAATATCCGACCTTTAAGGACAATCCAAGTTTATGGGGAACCACACTGCTTTACACAGCTGCGCTGAACGACCAGTTTGAGATGGTTAAATATCTGGTAGAAAAAGCTCGTTGTGCAGTAAACGCCAGGAATTGGCATAACGGGAATATCGATCGATCACCATCGGCTGCCAACACAAAAAATCCAATGCCCGGTGCGACTGCTCTTCATGTTGCCTGTTCTAATGATCATTTAGCAATTGTCAAATATCTTGTCGCGGAAAAAAATGCCGATTATTTTATTAAGAACCAAGCAAATAAAACACCAATTGAATACGGTGAACAACACTCGGATGTCAAACAATTTCTTCAAGATTATCTAATCGTTAGTTGGTCCAGTTCATTATCAACTAATCTACCACACAAGCCTATACTAGACGAAGATCGGCCACAACAAGATTGTACTTGGGAATATAAATCATTGCAAAAACCTGAATGGCACAAATTTTCGTCCGATGCAACTCAGATATTACATCAGGCACTCATTTCGACTAGAAAGTTTCAAGCTGAGGTTCAGTTAAAAACGCAAGAAGGCTTGTTTACTGTTTCAATGACCAAATTTCTTCGATCAGACAAGACCGATCCGGATGCACAAGAAAAACAAGCATGGATCCGTTGTCGAGGTTCGAGTGTTCTCAATTTTAACATCGATGCAATCTGGCAGCTAATGTTCATACGATATCCTGAAGCGACGAAAAAAATCACATCCTTATTGCACATTACTCATCTGACCACGATCTTCGATAGTAAGTTCAACATCGAACTCGATAAATGGTACACGTGCGATACAAGAACCAATTTATTGTTGAATAATTCAATGAATTTGCGTCGAAAGGTTATTGCGACCGACATTCCCCTTGGTATGAAAGACGAGCCTCTCTATTTCAACTTACATACATTTACATTCGCGAATGACGACAAAACAGTGGTTGGATATTTACGATGGATCCCAAAGTTGATTTCAAACGATGAGCGAAACAAGGACAGAATTCGCGACATTGATAATTTCCAGTCAACGGACAATGTCAAACCAATTCTGCTCACTACAGAGCGTTCGATACATGAAATGACTGATGATGAGGAGGAGTTTACGGATGAAGAAGTAGATACGCATGATTATGGCAATGATTTTGATAATGGTAATGAAAATGGTAATCATAGCCGTAACCGTAATCGTAATCATACTCCAAATGAAAATGATAATTATAGTGACAGTGATATTGATAATGACAATGATAATAATCGTAGTAGTGATGATGACAATGATAGTCACAATCGTAATCGTAATCATCATCATAATGAAAATGATAATGACAATCATTATGATACTGGCAATGACAATAGTAACGAGAATGCGAGCATGGCCACAAAAAAGAAGGTATGTTTGCCAAGTGAAAGTTTTGCTGCATCCAACCAAAATAAGCATATACTCTTGTCCAGAGGTTTTTTGATGGTTAAAATACTCAATCAGTTACGACATGTATGATATGATATATACCGTAAGATCATGAAACGAGATGTCTCTACTACTTGATGTGATAAAAAGTTGTTGAGCTCATATTTTGCGCATAGCTAGGCGGCTATGAGACTAGAAGAACCTGAAAAGGATTCATCCCCATGGGCTTTTGTTCCTGAGATAATGAAGTTTTATTGTATTTTTCAACCAATCCATGTGGCCCCCTCAGGTAACCAAAAATTTCAATTTTGAATTTTGGATTGAAACTTTGCACAAATAGAGATCATAATGAGAATAGTTTATGGTGAAAGTTTCAACCTTTTCGATTGTTTCTACCTTGACATAGGAATATGGAAATATTCAAGCTTTTATACGAACAATACTTCATATCTCAGGGTAGGAGCAACCAAAAGGGTTGAAACTTTCACCATAAACTATTCTCATTATGATCTCTATTTGTGCAAAGTTTCAATCCAAAATTCAAAATTGAAATTTTTGGTTACCTGAGGGGGGCCACATGGATGGGTTGAAAAATACAATAAAACTTCATTATCTCAGGAACAAAAGCCCATGGGGATGAATCCTTTTCAGGTTCTTCTAGTCTCATAGCCTTCTCGCTATGCGCAAAATGTGAGCTCAAAAGCTTTTTATCACCCCGAGAGGTTCCCTCGTTAGATAAGTAACGCCGATAACTGGATATTTTCTGTTTTGATACTGACAGAGCACTTCTCATCATAGCATACTGAGAAATAGTTAAAATAAGCCTATCTTGTGTTCTCCTTTAAAACGATAAACAGGTGATATCCTAGACAGTGATACAAGATGCAGTTAGGAAAATCTATACGATGAATTGCTTGATATTGCATGGTATGTTTTAAGGCACCTACTACCAACAAGGACAAATCGAATGTGAATGACATAATTGACAAAGATTTACTCGAGAGCTTAACATCTCATGACAAGAATGTGGACGTTTCTCCAGAGTATGTTGAACCAAACAAAGCATTGCAACCAGAACTAACTCAGGACGAAAAACAAAAACTGAAGGAATTAATTCATCGCATTGGTGAGCTACAAAAAGAATTAGATCATCAAAAAGACTATGAAAAACATTTGAAAGACTTGGAGAAAAAAATAACAACACAAACTAAATATGTTACCAAACCACCTGTGGCGATGCAAACTTATCTACTTGGTAAAGATGAGTTAATTACTAAGCATTTGAACGATCAACAAACACTTCCCGACTATTATGTCTACAAAATACCAAGACTTTTCTTTTATGGACAAGAATCACAATACAATGCTAGTTTGATCGGTCTTCCAACGCATCATCATGAATTTGAATTGGTATTACAAAGAATCTCATATCTGTCGCAGGAAACAGAATATGTCAAATATATGTACAAGCGGGAAGCGGCAGAAACTGTACAATCAGTAATTAAGATTATCATCAAACCTGAGAAACCGCTTCAATCATCCCAAACTTGGCAACATTATACAAACTGTTTCATGCAAATTTTAAAAGATAAAAAACAACAGCATATCGAACACTTTGATGAATACATAACCAACAAATCAAAATTATTAACAGATCAAGTAATCACTGACACAAACTTCAAGCCTCGTCCAGAACTAGAAAAAAACGTAGTTCATTACAAGAAATCAAATTTATTTACAGATGAAATGGAAAAAATCAAATATGAAGCATTTGTTGAATTTATTAAACAGCAGATTTTTCCATCACAACAACAAGTCGATAAAGAACTATCGAAAGAATCGATTAAAGTTTTAAACGATTTTATCAAAAAAAAGAAAGAAGAATTGCGCACAGAACGAATTTATGAAGGTTTGAATGCAAAACATTTCCAATTGATATCAAAACTATTACAAAGAATTACATTGTACTATCATTGTTTTCAATTACAATTACCACTGTTTGAATCAGCTCCGGACTTGCTGAAAAAAATTGATGAGAATACAGTTATTGCAATTTCAACATCGACTGGGTCGGGTAAGTAAAAAAGTTTATTATTATTTGTATGCAATGAAATTCCAACATAATATTTGGTTCCTTAGAAAGAAGTGTTACTTATAGCACTGTTTGAAGGATTCTCGAGAGCATTGTCCATGCCGTCCAAAATACCATATTTCCATCAATCCAATAGGAATAGGCTTTCAGCTGTAACATGATATATTTTCTGCATCACTGTTGAGTATCTGGGTGTGCATGTGAATTTCAGATAACTCTGTCTTCCATTGCAATCTAGCAACAATATGAGATCATTGTCTTAAGTTGATACTTTTATCTTCTAGGTAAATCAACCCTTTTACCAGCTTTACTGATTGCTGAAGGTTATGACAGAGTACTAGTCACACAACCGCGACGTCTACCCTGTACATCGATTTGTGACCGTGTGAATAGCACAATGACTTCAAATGAAGATTCAGAGCGAATAGCCGGTTGGGCTGTTAGTGGTGATGAACATGATATTAAATCTCCAATTCTATACTTAACTGATGGTCTTCTAAAAGAGCAACTCTTGCATGATGAAGATCTAATTACGGATCAAACAAAACTCAATAAATCGATCGTCTTCTTCTTGGACGAAATTCATGAACGGTCTATTAATATTGATCTTTGTCTAGCTTTGTTAGTTCGTTTGCTTACTAAAAAACCATATCTACAATCGAAAATGAAACTCGTCATTTCCTCTGCAACACTAGATTCATCTGTACCGGCATTATTTTTACAAAAGATTAAGATGCTTAGATTCGGAGAATTTAAAATGCCAAAACTAGGTACGCTTTATCCGGTAAAGAAGCATAAGCGACCTAATGACAATCTAATCACTTTGGTACAGGAACTGAATAAGAAGCGGCAACGAAACGAACAGATCTTATGTTTTGTCAGTTCCACCGCCGAAGCACTTCGTGGACCTCGTCTATTGCAAGAGGTCAGTTCTGGCGCTATTATTGCATACTCACTTATCCAATCACAATCTGCTACTGAACAACAGATGAACATCGAACACGGTAGTATCTTTTTTTCAACTACCGTGGCTGAAACCTCGCTGACATTTCCTTCTCTCCGATATGTGATTGATACCGGCATGGTTAAAATACCGAAGTACGATTTGAAGATGAAACAAACAGTGTTGGAAAAAGTCCGAGTCGCTGAATCAACAATAAAACAACGTCTAGGACGTTTAGGACGAACTCAGCCGGGTGATTATTATGCATTATACGATTTCAAAGTTGATGAAAAGAAATTTCCTACTGCACAAATATGCCAGTCTGAATTGACTACTATTGAATTATCATTAAGAAAGTCACCAGCACAAGAGGATCTCAACAAGATAAAGAAGTTCTTACCCGATGAACCACCACAAGCAGCAATTGATATGGCTTTGGCGAAATTAAGACGAGTCGGTATGTAGAGAATGTTTTGTTCCTTGTTTTTCATAGAAAAATATTTGAACTCAATTTCGACTGAACACTTTTGAGAGAGTGCATTGCATCATAGTTGTGATGGAATTTTAGAGATCAGTTATCATCGTTACTTCAAATTACATAAAAATGTTACTTAGACTTTGAATTTACAGAAATACAGATGAAGTTATTTAGTCACCAACTAATCTCAAGCTTAATTATAAACGCAACAGTCTTCCGTCACAACACATGATTAGTTCTTAAGATTTACTCGGACGATCGACTGAAAATATTACTATTGAGATCAGTCACTTTGACTTACTCTTCTATATTACATACCGAAGTAGAGTAATGTTGAAACTAGCGAATATGAACATTTTCTGCATGGTGAATTATGATTTTTATGCTTAGGTGTGGTTAGTCCTGCTCCGGATGAGAGTTTTACGAAAGATGGCGATGGCATCGCGAAATTACCTGACTTGGGCTCGGTGGAAATGTCGAAAGCTGTTTTTTCTGCTCTCACTCGGTATAAATGTGGTCGAGATCTGATCGCTATTGCGTCTGTTTTGGGCGTTTTGAACACCTCTGATGTGCTCAGTACGTTACCAAAGCGCTACAAATCTACCGACGGTGATTTTATGACTCTTTTGAATGTGATGAACGAAGTTTTAGAGGCAGAAAAGTCGATGGGACCTCGGCAATTTAAACTACAACAGTTTTGTCAGCAAAAAGGCTTAGAAAAAGCCTACCAAACTCTGAACCAAGCGTGCAGACGTTATAAAACTCTCGAGAAATCATTTAGTATGTCTAAGGACTACCGAAATCAGGCACAAATTCAAAGTGGCAAGTGGGAATCAATAGCCAAAGCGTTGTTAGAGGGCTATTCCGACAATGTTTTTGTTTCTCTCAAAGAATTGCAGCTTAGAAAACATCAGTACACTTGCTATCAGTCGTCCGAACCTGACATTGAAGTAGCGGTTTTAGATTCGCATTCGACACTGAATCGGTCAATTAATTCAGCTCCAGTTTCTTTGATTGTGACTCGTGATATTCTCCGTACATCATCTGTGCGAGCCAAGGCTATTTTATCGTTCGTTGGTGAAATCAAACCTTCATGGATCCAATATGAAGTCGAGCGAAAAATCAAATTGAATGATACAGAACAGGAAAAGTTAAATACAGAAAATATTTTATCTACCGCTAAGCGAATTTTTCCGGACGCACATGTTGAACTGAATCATAATGTGTTATCTATCAATGGATCGTCGGGATCTGTTTTAAAGTTCGAACTTTTTGTTTTACAGAAGCTTGTGGAAGACATGGTATTTTCTTTGTCAAGTCATGCTCCTCCGAACAGCGAAGCACATGAGACATTCCAACGAAACACACAGGGTATTCTGAAAATGCTTCATATATTTAATCCAATGAAATGGCGATGGGAAAATGAAGCCCAAGTGAAAATAAATGTTGAGCAGAGTCCGACGGATCAGTTGAAAATAACTGTGTCAGGGCGAAATTCAAACAATCGTTTAGTACGCGAAGAATTCCTCGAGTTGTCTGTTTGGCTCCGAAACTGTGTCGTTATTCGAACACCAAATTCCGGTAAGTTATACTGATTTTTGAAATTTTGAAATTTTCAAAGATGGAATTAAATGACAAGAAGAATGAACCCATAATATCTAAGAATAACAACCCTCATTGTATAAACTAAAACCTGATCTTATGATCGTGTTTTAGATGTGTATAAAAAATCACTTTTCATGCAATCTTACGCCAGATTATACTATAAGAATCTTCAAAGATCTAACTGTTCGATCGGATATGGCTAAAAAATGATGTGAGATTGTATGAACAGCGATTTCATTTGATTGTATGGTTTGACGATTGATTTTTTTAACTGCGTACAGGTACAAAGTGTCTAGATCGTCATCGTCTCGAATAAGTTCTAGTAAACTATTACTTCAGTTGTCTATGTTGTTTATTTTCAAGAAACACTGTATTAATTTTTTTCGCTTATTTCATTCGAAGGTTTACCTCCAAGACTATTAATACCTCAAGTTCGCCACAGATATCTTGATATTGAAGAAAGAATTTCTCATGTAACAGACAGTAAGCGTACCACTATCGATCTTTGGAACGGACTAGAAGGACCAAAGGCTACGCGCGAAACGCGTATGGAAGTCGTCGCATGGTTTGCTGTTTGTCAGTTTGGGTGTAAATTAGAAGGTGGCTTTGTTCGTGACTGGATTGTAGGTCACTACATTCAAAGGCCAGAGGGACAACACGCTGATCCGTCCACATGGATTTCTCGCACACCTAATGCGGCAGGAGTACAAGTACCTATTTTAAACAATGCAGTGACTCCGGCTGATTTGGATTGTCATTTATCTGCATTTAAATATTTCGATATCGACAAATTTTTAGATGCCATGCACAAATATCAAATTGAATGTGAAGTTACCCGTGAACAATGGAGATATATACTGCTGTTTGACGAGCACGCCAAAACTGGGCCATTCATGATGGACTTGATAGAGCCACATGTGGCACTAACTCACGATCGTGTAGATTTCGATGTGAATAATCTATCACTTGAAAAAGATTATACCAAAGAACTGGGTATGCGAGTGGACATAGAAAATGTACCCTATTCAATCGAATTGGAAACCATCGTCGATCGTATTCGTCGTAAAGAGCTAAAAATTCTCCGTCCAAGTGATGACCTCCTTGAAAAACGACTCAAAAAAATGGTAAATGTTCGTCATTGGTCTGTGAAAGATCCGTCTGTGTATGTTATTCCAAAGCCACCAAACAAATATTTAGTAGCTCTTGCTCCAATACCACCATCATCGGATCTCTATAAGGATCTTGTGAAGCAATTGCAAGTCATTCCTAATATACAAATAATAAAAATGGAAATAATCAGAAATCCTGGAACAGAAGATCTTTACCTTGGAATGAAAAAACTGATTCAAAAACAGTTGAAGGATGGAAATGTGAATGAAAAAGAATTATTTCATGGAACAACAGGCAAAGGAATTGATGGCATTCGAGATTACGGCTACGATAATCGATATTATGGAGCAAATACTGCAAAAGGAGACTGGGGTGAGTATATCAGACGTTGTCTTTCAAAAACGTTTGTAGTGATTGGTCAGACTTAAGACAATAAAAACCTTTTTCTCGGATAAGCAACTGAAAAGCGAGAAAGTTGTTGCTTTACTTTTTAAAGTTTTGTGCAACTGATCAAAGTCGTTTCATAGATCCTTTCGAAAGGAATACTAATTCATTTTTTTAAACATTTTTAGTACAATCTGTGGAGGATTTAAATGTGAAACATAATTCTGCTGTTACGACCGATCGTATTTCATAGAAGACTTTGATCATAGATGAGCACAAGGCAGTAGAACTGTCCTGTCCTCTGATCAGCACTGATTTCAATGCAAATCTATGAGAAAAGATAGGACTTATTGAATTTATGTTAATAAGTTCATTTCAATCCAACAGATAAACTGTAGCGAAAATCGTCTAGAAATCAGAAGTATTTAGTGGTATCGATTCCGACATCTCTAGAACGTTGTTCATTTATATGGCTTTAGCGATGAGATGACGGACTTCCTTGTTATACATGGACTTTTATGCGTTTCAGATTTCACAAAATTTAATTACTACGAAATGAAATAGTCTGTTGTGAGGCGTAGTAGTTCCTTTGCAACTTATATCTTAATATTTCTCATATAGTTTGCAGAAGATAAATGCTCCTAGGTAGTGATGTCTTTAGAGCTCTAATAGACCTATCGGTTATATACTCTAAAGGCTTTTGGATAATTTGATCATCCTAATAGTGCGTATATTAATCTGATTTTTCTTCAATAGGTCATGGAACATATTTTTCTACTAATCCAGGCTCACATTCTCATTTACACACAGCACCAAATGATCAAGATCAATCACGTGTCTTGTACTATAACAAAGTATTACTGGGCAGAATATACGAAATGAATAAACTCGACAGAGAACTTCAATCAGCTCCAGTGAACTTTCATTCAGTCCATGGTACACATCCTGGAAGACCAGACGACGACGAATACGTTATTTATTGGTATGGACAAGCATTACCATATATAAAAATAATCTATAAAGCGTGAACCTTAAAATTTCATCAAAGAGTTAATAGCGATGTCGCATATGTATAAATGTCTTCAAGAGAAACCACCACTAGCACATTTATTACTGTTGCTCACATTTTTTTGTTTGTTTATCTGTATCAACTAATTTTTGAAATATTTCTTCTTTTTTAATAAACAAGACAACATTCATCGCAATGATTGAACTTGAACCTTGGCTGAATCTTATCTATTTATCATCTGCTCCTTGTTCTAGAAGTACGCAAAATATAAATGATCGAACAAAAAGAAATTCCGATGAGAAGACTAACGACCACTGTAACAGTGGATGCTCAGTACTACTAAATAGTAAAACCAGGAAAAGTGGTAGGTGCTTCATATGAGCAAAAGAAAGACTAGAGAATCGATACTTTGTGATTATCTTTATGTTTCCTGCGCAAATAATCTTAGCAATGCTCATGATGATAACGACGATGAAAATAATTCAGAGATTCTAAATGGTAATGATAGTGAAGAGCTACGATTTCATCTGATTTCCTAAGTACAGATCTTCACTATGTCATACACTCAAATTGGAGACCATCGTAGCAAAATTCGTGAAGCTGATTTGTCAAGATCTCAATTTGTCCTCGGTAAATAATTGGCACAAGTCTACCACATGTTCACATAGGACTCATACAGAGGCTTTGGAATCGTATTTTTAAATTTGAACAAAGTCAAATGATTATTTTGGACAACGTTCCCTTTTTTCGACTATAAACTTCTCTCAAATACGAGCAACGTGCCTTATAGAACAGTGAAGGATCACATACAAAATAGTTGTACATTTATGAATAACAGTTCAAAATAATAAATAAATAAATTTTGCTTGAGGGTGTGGATGTGAGTGCAGATGCGAGCTATGCTTGGAGCATCCAGTGAACGGCAGGGAAACCCAGCTACACCCGCACCCACACCCTCACGTTACTTCTCCAGTTTGTCCATGTTAATCATAATAAAATATATACTGCAGTAATAACGAACTATATCATCTCGACCTCCACTCTTGTTCGTTACACTTTGTTATAGTGTGAGATAAATGTGAGAGAAGTATGTGTGTACGTACAACGTGTACGTTAACTTTATTTAACAAGAATGTCCTTTATTCGATATTACATGAAATATATAGCGAGAACGACAAGAGAAGAGAGAGGAGAAGAGAGAGGAGAAGAGAAAAGATAAATGAAGATTAAAGAAGATGATAGAGGATAACACATATATGTCGAGTGTGTATACTAGCGACGTCACTGTAACACACTTCCGTTAGAATACAATTTAATGAAAATAAAATCCAGACTAAAAACTTTTTAACAAACAAAACGCAAATCAGCCTCTTTAAAAGTTCCTTTCGTTCTGATCATGTATTTTCTTGATTATATTTGTAACGATAGTTTTCGAGCCGTTAAGTGTTACTACAATTCCATCTTTTTCGAATTCTTTACCCACTGCATACAAAAATGGCTTTCCCGCCTCACTGAAAACAGTTTTTGCTGTTAATTCAATACCAGTTTCTGCTGCTACCTTCGCTAGGATTTTGACTAGTGTTCCAATGATAAATGGTGCTGTCACGATGTCAAACACTGTAGATGCTACACTGAGAGCAGCATCAACTTGATCTGCTGTTGTATTTGATTGTGCAGCTTTACCACACCAAAGAACAGCATTTGTGAGAGAAAACGGTATACCAACGATCGGGACATTCGAGAGAACAGTGATAATCATCTGGGATTTGTTTGTATGACAGTGTTCACATACTGCCAAACTGCCAAAATTTTTCTGTTTGCAACTACTACATTGCCATGTGTCACCATGATCTCGGTTTTTGTCACTTATCAGTTCATTGACACTTATCGTTTTGCCACAGCTAAGATAAATTCCTTTCTTTAGATAGCGTTGAGGTTCAATTGTTGTTGCAGTTGTTGCGGCGGAGGGGGAGTAGTGATATCTACCAATAATTTGGATGTCATACCAGGAACCATAAGCTAAACTGTGATCAAATTTAAAGCTTGAACTGTGTTTCGGTTCCAGGCGTTGCAGACAAAAACCTTGACCGGGTGTGAATATATTTGCTTGCTCCAGCTCAAAATTATTTGGACAATCATTTATTACAGTTAAGACACCACCCATTCTTGCTGAACAAAATTACTGGCTTTGGTTTAGTTTCTACAGGATAGATTCACCAGAAGCTTATCTAGGAGATATAACAGTAGGAATTAGATAAGAAAAGAAAGAGATAACTGCTGTAAATAACATTTATTAAATATTTATTTCAAACAGAAATAAAATAAAACAAGGGAAGATTCGAGTTTTCGCGTTCGTATCTGAAACACATCGTCACACCGTAAAAAAAATCCGTAGAACAAAATACCCTTAAAGGGTTGATGAAAGTGCAACTTATAATAAACCCTTTTTACGGTATGTAAAACTTTCCTAAACCCTTATAAGGGTTGGGAAACGCACATAAACCTATGCAAGGGTTTCGAAAAAGTGAACAAAACTGCTCCACAATTAATACATGTTGTAAGGCACACCGAGCCAGCATGCAACGTCCTCTCCCACAGAAACCAACAACTCTTGGAACCGATTGTGTCATGCCGTACAACTGTATATACTCTTCAAACGAACGAAGAATCTAAGTGCTTTCAACAAAGCTCAACGGAAAAGTTACGATGGTCAAGCACAGAAAGAAAAGCACCACACCTAACGATCTCAACGTATCCGTTAAGCTTCAACAAACGCACTTTGGATATGTTCATCGTTTTGCAGAATATGTAGTTTATGAGACACGACACAGACGCTTCTTCGATTCATTCGTTGTTCTGTGAGTCGAAAATGATACACGCTGAAGCAGTGTGCTTCAAACCAGCCCATCCAGCATGTTTTGACTTCTCATTGCGACGGACTTAAACATAAAAAGGACAATTTCACTCGATAAAATTTACAGCTGATTTACAGCGACGCATACCATTAAACTAGATTTAAATGCCTCAAACATTAAATATCTGATTTTCAAGTTGTCATTCAACACGACCTAATCAAACAAAAGTTATGTAAAAGCCCAATACTCACATTTGTTAAACCTTCAAACTGAAGTCAATAAGGCACAACAATAAAAAAAAATAAGTTTTAATTTTACTTCGATCTTTTGCACTCCATCATAGTAAAAAAAATATTCGCACAAATCATACTCACGCTATTCTTGCCTTGCAATTGACATTAATAATAAGAGCCATTCACACATACAATATTCAATTTGGATTACATGTTTTCTGTCCTATATAAACAAACGAATTTCAAATAGATAATAGGCGCAAATTTTATTGCTGCAAATAGAACTTACTAGTAACATCAATTTAGAAAACATGCTATTCGATTTTGATGGGGAACTTTGTAGATCATACGCAGGGTATCTTAGGTCAGGATTCGAGTATTTTGAGAAAGAATTCGCTTCAAACAGCGTTCCAGACCTCACAAACTATTTTCCAAGTAGAACGAAAAGTTTTCTATCGAACCCATCTCTTCGCAATTCCCAAACAACCGCCTAACGATGCCTAATTTTCAAAATACGCGCAAAAAGCATGCAAAAATACACATTATTTGGTAAAAACAGTCGCCATTCCCCCAAAAGAACTTTCCAAGTAAATATTGACGCGCGTGTTAGCTCTCGTTTTTGGGATTCTGTAGCAATGGTATAACTAATATTTAGTGTTAGCTCTAATATGTATAGAATGAAAGTAAGATATAAGGGATGAAAGAGAGATATATAAAGAGCGAAAGAGACAAGCAATGTCACTGATGTTATGTGACAGAACGAAGAAAAATATGACCTTCGTGGGGATCGAACCCATACCTTCTGCTATCCGGGCAGATGTCCTACCATTTAGACTAGAAGAATGTATTAACCTTCGTTTAGCGTTAGTGTGATCCATCACTAACGCTAACATTTAGTCTGCCAAAATTAGAGAGCTAAACATGATTTAATAATCGACTTTGTCGTCGTATCATATATAGAATATATTGAGTATCGAGAGATCGATACGATAGAATATCAACAACTGCGCAATAACGAAAGACAAAGATAATCACGAGATGAATCATAGTTGAGAGATTATGTAATAATCAAATCATAGATTCAAAAAATAGATAACATAAGATAAACGTTTAGCGTCAGTAAGCACCATCTTCTGACGCTAACACCATAGTTAAGAAAAAAGACTGGACATCCTATTAGATGGTTAAATCAAATTGTTGTAGCACACGAATGTAATTGTGATTCGTTATATTCATCAATTTAAGTTACCGATAGTTATACGCATAACAATAAGTGCCATTGGTTGTTTAATATTCATATTAACTTCAGGTATTTCATTTAACTATCTGAAAGAATACTAAATCAAATCTAAATTTACTAATATACTAGTCCATAAAAAAAAGTAACAGCTATTCTGTATTTCTATTTCTTTTACGTTTTTTCTGTTTTTCGATGAAACAAACAACACATTAAAGTTAATCATCACCGGCAATACGTCACCAGCAACTGAAACACCGTCCGGCCACTTTAAACCTATTGTTTCTTCGATGAAACGTCGAGCAACCTGTTGGCAATTTAGCTTGCACTCCATTTTTGCTCATATAGTTCAACCACGTGAGAATATAAAGAACTTGTCTAAAAATTTAAAAAATAACATTAGAAAGTGATACAAATAATAAACTTTACTAAAGAATGAAATAATGATTGTTTATAAGCAACTGCAATTTGAGGATTAATTAAATGTTGATGAATACTGTGCCGATATTGATTGCACGCTTCGATGATTCTCCTTCCTCTTCTTTATGTTCTCTTTCCATTGTTCTAATATCACTCTCTCTTGTCTCTCTTCTATCTCTCCCCTATATATATACGTGTGTTATGTATGAAGTTGTTACACTCTGGAGATGTCAGATGACACAATACACCATCATGCCGACGGGCATAGGCGACACTCTCTAGTTTTGTCGTTACACTCTGGATAACTTGAAGTAGCCTAATAAACATATCTTTGCCGGGAGTGGCACAAGCTATTCTAATCAAGTTGTTCGTTACAACTGTATCCTGTACTGATAGCATTGCGCCAAAAATATTTCTAATACAAACATCCAGCGTAGAACAAGCAAAATTTAAACCATCTAACTTTATCATTAGATATTCTTCATGATGTGAGAAAAAGACCGTTTATTTAATAGTAGTTTGATCACAGAACAGTTTGACGCTTTGAAATTTATTAATCGTACAAAAAAACTCAAATTTTCTTTTTGCTCGTGTGAAAAAGCAAATTTTAGACTGGTATTAAGTTTCAATTTTTATTCTAGGACACTAATATTCATGTTGATGCTATTTTATAATAAAATTTGCAATATGTTTATTTTAATAAATTACGACGGCAAAAACAGTACATTAACATGACAGAATCAAGAAAGATTCGGTTTTTCTTTTTGTTTTATTCAATTCAGAAATAAATGACAAAACCCATAAGAAAATAATGTTTCATTATAAATCAATTATATTGATAGATTCGATATTAATTTTAACTATTCTTTTTTTCTTATTTAAATTTTAAAGAACTACTTTTCTTTGCATTCATCGTTTGAAAAGCGAAAATTTAGAGTCAACCAGTAAGTTCAAAAGATTCATTATGATTTCTTTTGTAACATTGAAAATAGAATGGCGAAAAAACTTTCATTTTTTGCAAATTAGTTTTGACTTCACGTACGAGATAAAGTTTTCCACTCGAAATGATACCACTCAATGACATGCGATAATCTTTCAACATCGTATAGTGAAGCATGTAAAGAAGTTTTAAATATCGTCTCGTCCCAATGCTGTATTCATAGTTTGATATATTCATTGATGATTTAATATTCAAAATAGTTTCAATCATATTTAAGCGAAGAGTTCCACATGTTCTGAATAAATAGACTTTTCATCTCGATATTTGGGTGTGGGTGTGGATGGGGGTTCGGGTGTCTTTATTTCAATCACACCCAAATCGACTTCTACCCACAGTTACAGTCACACCAACGCCCACAGCCACACCCTCAAGATTTGAAATTTTGCTGATAATTAGATTTCATGATCCTAAGAATATGCTTCTTAGGATTTGAAGGCCTAATTGATGAGAAAATCTCAGTTGAAATATGTTCTGTTTAAAAATCTCCTCGAGATTCTCTCAATGAAGACAAAATGAAGCTCATAAAAATTCTTGAATTTCACTTAGAAAATCAAGTTGCAGATTTATTTTCTTGAGTGAGAGTTTCTGCTGTGAGACATAACCTTTTTGTATTATATATAGCCAACAAAAGCATTAAAAAATATCCATGTTCATTGGTTCAAGTACGTAAATGTTGTAAATCATTTTCATTATAAAAATCAAAAAAGAGTAAATTAATATTATGTAATGATTTATCACGATATATTCGAATAAATTCAGAATCAAATGGATTAAATTGACGATTATTTTGGCATGTCAACAACGTAAAAGTCATTCCTCTATTAGAGAGCCACTTCTTTCGATTTTAAATGCTGTCTAAAGAATTTACAAACCAAATCATTAAATATCTTCATAAGAAAATAAAAAAACTCTTTTAAAAGATATTTTTCACCGATATTTGCATGTGATATAACATATGTTATTTGTTCACTATAATCTTTTCGAACAGATTCGCCAAGATAATGAACAAAATCACTAAAGTCAATCGAAGACAAAAAAATATTATTCTAAAAAATTAAATTTTTATTAACTTGCATGTGTACCTCGTCGAATTCCAACAAAGTATATGACAGCTGAAAATAAATGTTGATATATAATGGTCAATCTCTCGTGGTACAGAAATATCCTAAAAAGATTTTATTTTTATTTTTATTTTCATAAAAAAATTTTGTTTTGCACAATTTCTTTTTCCCCACATGATAATACAATTTCAAAACTAATTGTATGGATATCTTCATTTTCTTTGACATATTGAAATATACAACATTAAATGAATCCACAATATAAATACGTAATTGATGTTGTGATAGTAAAGTTTTTGTTTCAACCAGTGTACGAGCTACTTGTTGTTCATCATTAATATATTCATATACATAACGATTCTCAAGTGTGACGAAAGAATTCGTCTATTGGAACAAGCAGAATCAATAATACATAATGTAATTGCTTGAAATAAAAATAAATAAATTTGCTTAAGAAGAAGCTAAGAAAAGAGAATATCTACTCTAATCATTCATATTTGCTGGTTAAGTATTTTTAATGCTTTTTTAAAATTTATTACGTCGATGATGAATTGTATAAGTCGAAGAAGATGAAGAAATATTTTGTGTTGTCATTTGTTTTTCGTTTTAAGAAAATCTCAAAAATGAGTTAAGTGACTAGATCTAAATAAAAGAATGATTGAAATGTATAGACATTATGATTCGCTTTTTTATTACGATTAGTTAGTGGAATGCTAGGTTCGACAAAACATAAAAATTACGAATCAGAAATTGAAATTTCCGTCAGGCTCATACACTGGTGACAACCCGCACCGTAGAGTCACCTATCTGTGCTTTCATATGATTGGTCAGTATAATTGAACCAGCCACCAAATTAGTAGCAACAACCACGAACGATGTTCTCACGATGTCGTCCTTTTATTTGGATAGGCAACACACATACAAGAGATCAGCGGAATTCTGCATAAATCCTTTCCATAGTTGCATTTTCTTGCTCTTCATGGTCACATAGTCATCATAAACAGAATGACAACAACCGTTCATCACAGAACGTATATCAAAAGCTTGTGACAAATATAGTTACTCTTTACTCTAGAGGATGAATCCTTTTCCAGCGGCGTTTATGACATTCGGCCGCCAATTTTCTTCGAAGATTTGAGTAATGAAGAGCAACTCGAGCATAGCATGACCACTGCTATGCGAGTTGACCATTTTCTGACGCAATACTGCTGTATTCAAACAAGTAAGCTATTCAACAAGAATTCACGCACCCATTTGTTTTCTTGTATTTCTAGAGGATCTCACAAAAACAAAAGTAACTTTGCTTCACGATTTTAAAGTTCATGAAGAGCAACTTTATGAGATGCTCATGTACTTACGGAATTTATTTGGAGATATAATGAAGGAAAATATCGACAAAAATAATCTTACCGCTTTGCTTGTAAAAATGCTTAGTGGATTTGTAAGTGTCACCTGTTTTGCATTCTTCAAAATGAACATTAAGTTGTATTTTTTCACTTACAGAAGCCAATTGGATATAATCAAGCGTAAGGCTTCGTTCGTCTTCGATTCGGCGTGCTCTCTTTATGTGTGTTGCTGTCTATGTGTTCATTATTCAACTATCTATTTCAACTTTTCTTATCCATGTACTATGAAATGATGAATAAAAAAGGCTTCTAGACTAGGTAAACATTTTCAATGAAGAAACCGCATGTTCAGATAATCCGAAAAGAATATGATTTTTCTATACGACTTTCAAGAGAAATGCAGTTCATGCCGATAGAACGATAAGGACGCAATCTTAAAGATCGGTGAGTATTCGAACCCAAGCACACATCCCTGTACTGTAAAATAAAGAAGCACTTTACTAATTTCTAATACTATTATTTAGAAGCTACTCGTCTTCTACTTGTTTATTGATGATACGAGTAGATGAAATGAAGCAAAAATAAATTTTTCGTTTGGTAATATTGAATTTAGCATTGAAATTTCTTTTTATCTTTCTAGACTTTCAATATTATCTTTTTTAATACTTTCTTCATTTATTCTTATCATATATCATATAACCATATATGAAGAATCTTTCTCACGAAATTTATTTTCAATAAGACTTACGTGCCATCATGTTTGGTATTTCATGATGAATGCAAGCTAATTGCTCAAAAGATAGCACTAGACATAATAATTTCAGTAATTGTTCATGTTGGTCTAAATAAAAAAGAAGAACATAGTTACCCAGGAGAATGAATCCTAGCCTAGGATCCGATGAGTTCCTATTGGAATCCGACGGAGCTCTTCGGAAGGCGCAAGGAAACTATCGGATTATCGTCGGATTCGACATTGATTCCTCAACCAGGAATCCAACGGGATTTCGTCGGATGGTAGGACCCCATAGAATCCGATGGAATTCGGTATCGGATTGATTCACCTGGGTATAAGAGAGTACACCAGTATAGGTAGCATTTTTTATGAATTATCTAGCAATTGTATCGAAATCAGCTAGAGTATATGTGCATAAGCATGTTCGACAGTGAATAATTTTTCAGAAATAAACGATGGTGAAACAAAGCTCTGAACGTAGGATTTGGTAGTTGTCCATAGGCATTTAAACCAAAAAATAGACTAAATAAGCATATCTATGAGTAGATAGAGAGACTTTCGTTCATGACTGGTGTGAGTATGTGATAAAAGAGAATATTCACACCCACCACCACCACCACCACCACAATATGTGGGTGTGGGTACGAATGTAGAAAATATGCACACCCACACCCATGCCAGTTGCTGGTGAAAAAACAAACGAAAAAGCACTTGTATAATACGTGGTGCACATTCTGTTACCTTCGGGTGAGGACAGTTAGCTGAGACAACTCAATCAGACACTAGATGTCGATGATGAACGTTTATAATCTTACCAATAGAATTGCACTCTTTATTGGATGTTGTATTTATTAAAGGCAGTGTTTATGACGTTGATGAATAGTGCACAAACTATTTCAAGCATCAGTTCTTTTCAAATTTTGAAACATGCATGGGGCAGTTGATATGTAAACGTTTGATAAGAATATTGACGAATATCTAGTCTAACAACTACATTCGCAGTATGGTTAAATATCAGACAGAGAAAAACGTCAATTCTCTGATTATATATCTCACATCTAATTTCTGATCGTATTTCATTAATCACTCACATGTATTATTCTATTACAGAGTCTAAATTTCTTTGGGATGTGGGGGTGTTGGCATGTTCAATGAATAATACATTGGCACCCACACCCTTTGTGTATATTACGTAACTTATCTATGAGTTGTATGCTCTTCGGATAGTTATGAACGTCAAAACTACCTTACGAGTCCCTTAAGCAAGGTTGGAACACAACGATTAGCTGAAAAAGCACACCCTAGTTCTATTTGGAAAATTTAAAATGAGCAAATGTAATATTAATGATTGTATCGAAATTTGTAATTCGAATGTTATCTATCAGAATCAATCTAAGAATTACAATATCTAAGTAGATATGATTTTAAGAATACCACCTGATAAAGTCTAGCCAAGACAGAAACAACCGTTGTCGTGGTACGGTATTCTAAATCTAATCACACTCACACCACTACCCTAATGACGACAAACAAAGAGAGAATGATGAATATTTTGAAATCTTCACGATAGCTGAAAACGATAATTGTAGAGTAAAGCCAAACTTTACAGTTTCATATAGTTTTTTGGAAAAAATGAATGTTCTACTGTAATCATAAACTCTTGAAGTGAACACCCTCAAGAAATATTGTTATCACTATGAGTATTTTCGATTTTTTTTCTTCTACAACCAGTGTAAAATCTTTTCATTATCGACAATTTTTCCAAAGACATCAGCAATGGATAAATGTTTATTTTAATAAACTACGATGTCAAAAACAGTAAGTTAACATAGCAAGATCAAGGATGATCAGATATTTTTCTTTCTGTTTTATTCGATTCAGAAATACTAATTAAAACTTTTTTTGTTCGTATTATTTTTGATTCGAAATAAATGCCAAAACCCGTAGGAAAATAATATTTCATTATCAGTCAATTATATTCATACATTTGATATTAATTTTAACTATTCGTTTTGGCTTTATAGATTAACTATATGCGATGCTCGTTACGTACGAGATAAAGTTTTCCACTCAAAATATTGGCTCATCTCGAAATGATACCACTCAATGACATCCGATAATCTTTCAACATCGTATAGTGAAGCATGTAAAGAAGTTTTAAATATCGTCTCGTACTAATGCTGTATTCATAGTTTGATATATCCCATTGACAATTTACTATTCAAAATAGTTTCAATCATATTTAAGCGAAGAATTCAACATGATCACTTTTCATGTTGATATTTGCGTCAATTACGTCGATGATTTTCTCAAATGTAAAATAGATCATTTGAGTAAGATCTTTTCTGTCAAACTTTTATTTGTTTTAAAGAAAAGAAACAATTTTTTTCCATACAAATAAAATAAAAACATGCCTATATATTTCCTGTTGCTGTTCTTCTCTCTCATCAAACATCGCTTAATTCGCTTTTTTTTCTATAAAAAAACTCTATCACGATAATGACAATCACAAAAAAGGAAAATAAAATATATAAAGGAGAATAATAAGAAGAAGAAGAAAAAAAGTCACAGCTTAAACGAAAGAGAAATACGATTGAACCAAATGACTATAAACGTACGCAACATATCTCCATATGTTTAATAGGCCCGCACGCGATTGCTTACATTGCCGTAGTACATATCATTGCGATTGCCGTAGCTTCGTTGATGATAACCATTGTTATAGTTTCGTCGGTAGCCAGTACGTTGACTTGAACCTTGTTGTATTGAACGATATTTTAAACCGAATGTTTCAGCATTGACACGACGTTCTTCGTTGCGATTACGACGAGCATTACTAAACAACAAAATGATTCATTTAAATGTCAATGAAGAAAAAAACGGCTTTTCGTTTTCGTTAAAATTTACGTTTTTTCTTTTGCTGTAGCTTCACATGAAATACGATCAAAGAAACTTTTTTGTTTATCATAATAATCATCGGCATGGGTTTCCTGTGGCTCGGATTGTGTTGATGATGAAACTGTCGGTTGATTTTCTTTATTATTTTCCTGTTCAATCTTAGGTGAATCAATGACTGGTTCAATTTTAGGTGTTTTAATTGATAAGCTCTTTTTAATTTCATCTTCAATAGCATTCTTATTAAATTCAGCATTCGATTTTTCAAAATCGAAATCACCAACGAATTTCAATGATGAATGATTGTTGCCATTACTACGTTCGCGTTGTTGGCGATTGTTTCGCGTGTGTTGCTGATTATTAGGGATGCCGCCGGTTGAATTTCGTCTTTGGCGATGATTAAATCTTCCTGTTGGTGGTTGTTGACCTTTGATTATAAAATAAATTTTCAGAGATCGATTGAAAATTTTAAACTTACGTCTCGATGGATAATATCCATTGTCATTGTAGTTTTGTGGTTGTCTTGAAAAATGTTGTGTTTTACGTGGCCAATCGGTGTAACCATTGTTTCGACGATTTGGAATATAATCGTTATAGTAATCTTGTTGACGAACGCGTCGTTGATAACCATAGGAATAATCTTGACCATCATATTGATATGATGGTGTTTGTTGATGAAATCCTCTTGATGAACGTTGTTGATTGTTATTGAATGGACGTGACGGTTCAAATGATTTTACACCTTTGCTATTACCTTTGCGGACAGGTGGTGATGGCATTGTACCTCGATTGGATAATGAACGTGTTTGGCCATTCTGAGATATTCCTAGAATGAGATGTTCAAGAAAAAAACAAAAACTAATAAATAATATTCATTTATTTCTATACCTGCAAGGTTAGTATTGGTTCCAATTGAATTCGAACGAGCATTATCCTGATATGCCGACGACTATTAAAAGATAATACAAAAAGGTAATATTGGATCCGGATTCATAATCGATGATGCGTACCTCAACAATAGCTGGATCCTGAGTTAATGAACTTTGTGGAGGTTCGCGTACTTGGAGATCTTCAATATCAGCACCACGAAAAATAATATATTCGAAGACTTCATCACGAGCTGGTACAGGTCGATCAGTTGGACGATCTTCGGTACCAAATGAACGTACTAAATCAAACAAATCCTTCGTTTTCTAAATGTTTTCTTTCGTAATTCTTACCTTTCGAAAGTGCTACAGTCGATTCGTTAGCATCGATTGTATATAGAATACCTTCGTAACGAATTTTAGCTTTTGATACAAGACTAATTTTCGAACCAAGATACGGTGAATCTGTTGTACCAGATGATGAAGTTTTCTTCAATGATGTAGTAGCATTAGCTAAGCTCATTTTGATATCTAATTCTGCTATCGATGTATAGACACGGAGAAAGACAAGAAATGAAAACGTTTAAATCAAAAATACACTAGTATTTCTTTTCTATGTTGGTCACTTAAATGATTTCGGCTATCGTTAGACAATGGTATATACTAAACACAAACAAGCACGTTCGTTTCAAAGCATTTATCGAGGGATATATAGAAGATATATCTATTCACTTTCTTCGATGAAATCGACTATAAAAATGAGAGATGTTTCTAGAAAAGAGAAACGCATATGGATGGATAAATTTAGTTGACTCCAGGGCATCATCGATAGAAAGAGATCAAAACAGTCGGCAAAGAGGAGAATCAATCAAAGAATATATCTTTACATGTTATTCAAAGTCACTGGAGATTGTCTACTGAAAGAAAGATTTCAGTTCAAAATATATGTTTATCTAGAGGTCACTTAAATGCAAGACAAACTTTTATTTAATTATCATTTCCAGACTTTAATTAAAGAACATATATCTAATCTTCAATTAACTATATCAAAAGATTATTGAGATGTCAATAGAGGGTGCCACATATATTACACTGAATACAACACCATCTAACTTGATAATAGATTTTTCATTTATAGATAGAAGCAGTTCTTCTCTGCAGAATCTATATCGAGTGTTAAAAATGAATGGCAAGCTACTAGTGAATATTTTTAAATAAAAACTAAAGTTAATGTTGCTAAGACAAACAATCTTTCAAACATCATTTTAGTGGTTTTGATACAATTTTGATTGGTTTACGATTATTTTTCTATTGGAATTGATAGTAAATCATATGACATCGATTGCACTATTTGCTTCTGATGTCTAAAATTCTAAGAATACGAAAAAAATGTGACGTCAATTTGAATAGATGAAAAAAAGTAAAATATCCATCTTCTATTCTCACGTGCAGTAAAGCAGATCGACTATGTATTTAAACCCTAGAAGCGATCAAGTTGAATATCAATAGCTGATATATATATATCCTATTGTTTCGATAAACGTGGTAAAACCATCAATTTTATTACAATGGTCTCTACTCAATGATTGAGAATGTATAAATTCGAACTTTTTTCTTCGTTTTTACTTGTTCTTCTCTCACGTTACTTATCTAATAGAGAGCAATAGAGCGAATCAAAAAAACAGTTTTTTTTTGTGCCCAACGTATTTGTTAGCACAACTTGTATCAACTTATTATGCATATTTGCTAATAAGTGTAAAACTGCAAAGAAAAGAAATCGTCGATTCATGATGTCTTCGACATACTGTCCTAGTGAGTGCATTTATGCTTCTAATAAATAGATAACATAGAGGGGTATGGGCTTAATTTTAACATTTCAATGTAACGAGCAACATGTGAGATACCACTTGATTAACTTTAGATTGTGAGTCGGCATCTTTATTCGGTGAACTGATTAACTTCACAATGGCATCCCAAGAACAGCGGTGCTATGGTCAGTCAAATAATTATTAGTCTTCGATTTTTAAAAACAATATTTAATTTTTATAGAAGGATCAGCAGGCGCAGAATTTCGTCAAGTAGATCGAACAGGACAAATTCATAATGCAGTTGAAGTAAAGATTAGTTCTTTTCAAATAATTGATTATAATTTCGTTTTAAATAGCGTTTTCGTTGTGAAATTCTTGATTATATAAACAGTCGTCTTGAACAATTTTCATCCGAAATGAAGCTCAACACGGATTTACCATCATTAGATGATATGGTTAAGCAACCTGTAATGTCCGAAATGGATTTAAGAGTAATTAATAAACTTGAAAAAAAATCACCATTAAGAAATCCACAAAACGGTGAGGATAGTACAACGTCATCAATTCCGTTTCCAGAAAAAGTCTTCCGAGCACGTTCATCGATACTCACCGAATTATTGAAAGTTTCACATTTTCGATCGATTCGACAAATATTTATATCAGTTCTTGTGATTGTTTTCTTACAAGTTGCGATACATGATTTATTTGAATTTGGAAAGTATGTCAAACAAAAACAACATTGTTCAATGGATTTCATAACGAATTCATTTTGTTTTATCTCTAGACTTGATTTTCGCGTTGATGTTATTCTGTGGAATTTTTCAAATTTATCATCATGTATTCGCCTTTGGCTTTGGTTATTTCTATCAACTTGTATAGTCGCCTATTGTGGTTTTCATTTTTGGGCCTACAAACGTCTGGCGTTCATTCCAATTGTCACATCGAATGAAACAGAAAAATCAAATAAAAAACCGACTAGTCTATGTAAGTTACCAAAGTGAATATATTTATAGTAATGAAATAGTTTTATTTTATTTTAGTAATATTCGATTGGACGTGGTTTTCTTTATACTGTTGTTATATTGCGTTATTTTTATTTTTTCCAGTACATTATATTCTTGCTGAAAATTATCCGATTGTTACACGAATAATTATTCTAATAGAACAAGTATATAATTCATTTTTAATAGTGAACTATAAATTCGAGATACCAATTTTACTTTTATTCTGAAGTTTCTTTCCTAGGCCGAAATTTTTTGGGATAGATTATTTTCGGTAAGATATACCCGGGTGTAAAATTATAAGAAGATTAATCGATTGAGGATATTTCTTCGTTAGGTCATTGTAATGTATGATCGGATTTCTTTTCTCTGACTCCTATTTGGCTTTATTCGTGGAATGAAACTTTCAGATGAAGCAGCTTACTTCATTTGAAAGAAACACCTTCCGATCGGCCTATCTACTCAAGTTAAATATATTTCACTCCCAAATTCACCAATGAGTTCTTCGATTAACGGAACATTTTCCTTGTGGGTTTCTCATACCTCAATAGGATCTATCGTATGCATGAACTTCGATCGCAAAAATGATTTATCAGTTGGATATGTTCCCTCATTAGAGATAAATATATTTTTTTTGTTATTTTAGGTTCGATTTTTAATGAAATCTCATGCTTTCGTACGAGAGAATGCACCGCGTGCGATACTTTATGCTCAGATTTATTCGCAAAAAGGTAAATAATAATAATAATAATAAATCATTTCTTTCCCTATGCAGATCATTTTCTAGATAAAAAAGAAGATAAAACAGTCGACTCATCGAATGATCAAAAAGTATTTTCTCGGTCGCATTCGCCATGTCCTGAATTTTCGAAATATATTTATTTTATTTTCGCGCCGACACTTATCTATCGTGATTCCTATCCTCGATCATTGTCAATACAATGGAATTATGTTCTATCACAAATAACACAATTTGTCGCAGCTGTATTTTTTAGTTATTATCTATTCTATCGTTTTTGTTTGCCGGTATTTCGCTATTTCAAATCCGATCATGTTACCGTAGAGATATTCGTTCTATCAATTCTCAATTGTACTTTGCCAGGAGCTCTGCTTTTGTTTTGTGGTAATATTTGCTGATTGCGAATCTATCGATCAATGTATATAGCAAGGAAGGGAAGAATTCTACTGCGGGCTGTATTTTAATTGGCCGAACATAAGAACGAGAGAAAATAATATTCGTATTTAAAACTTAATTTCGATTTCAAGTGTAGCAATTTATTAATAGCCAATCATGTTACACTTGCAGAGTACATGCCAATTGCGTTTCAGAATGCCAGGACGAACTTTCGCATTAGTTTTAAAAGGAATTTCTTCGAATGACCCCTACTGATTTTAATGGAGTTTTGCCTATAATGTTAGACGGTTGTATGGCATTTTTTTGATTGATTAATTTTCATATTCACAAAAAGAACCGGGCCATTTCTCAAGAGTAATCCTAAGACTGTTTGTCAAAAGAATAGATTAAGTCTATAGGCGACACAACCAGTTGAATACGTAAGAAACACAATTACTGAGAAGGGCGTCCGATAATCTCGATGTTCATCCAACAATAAAGTTAAAACGTGAGATACGAATAAACGAAATGGGGGCCCCTTAATCGTTTGAACCTTACTCAGTTTTCTATAAAGTTATTGAATTGATTTATAAATATCGAATTCGTATTTTTTCCTCGTTCTAGTTTTCTACGGATTTTTACATTGTTGGCTCAATGCATTCGCTGAAATGCTTCGATTTGCTGATAGAGAATTCTATAGCGTATGTAGGATTGCTTTTTGGATTGAATTAAAATAATATTTTATTCTTTGTTCAAGGATTGGTGGACAGCTACTTCATGGAGCAGTTACTATCGAACATGGAATATTGTAATTCGTTCTACTTCATAATTCATTTAATTGTATCTATATCTATATAGGTTGTTCACGATTGGCTTTACACTTATATTTATCGCGATTGTCATACAGTAAATCTCCCGAAAAAATAGATTAAATTATTAGGCTAATTTTTCATTTTTTTCAGTTATTCGGTGTTAAATATCGTTTGGTATCGATGTATACGGTTATATTTTTAAGTGCTTGCGTTCATGAATATATTCTTTCATTGGCATTTGGCTATTTTTATCCAATATTATTTTTACAATTTGCTGTTCTTGGCTGTAAGTTTTATTTTTCTAAATAGAAAATAATGATCTAATTTTCGTATGAATAGTTATTTCAATGCTTATTTTACCGCGACGCACGCAAAGTATAGCTTTTAATATTTTTATATGGACATCGTTATTCGTTGGGCTTGGCATGCAAATGTGTTTATATTCCATTGAATGGTACGCTCGGCAAAATTGTCCTCGAGTAGTGGTAACTATATATAAATATGTATCTTTTTCTTCTCTTCATATCGTAAACTATTGTTTTTAGAACGGTCCATTGGATTATTTTATACCACGATCGTTCTTTTGTCGTGAAGTAAATGATACAATAACGGTAGATATCAACGCTTCGGTGGCAAGTAATCGTCATTATTTGTAAAAGAAGATTCATTGATGGCTGATACAATTGAGGGTGTCTGTTAAATGTTAATCTCGCGGTGTTTTAATTCTCATCCGAAAAAAAAAGAAAGATGATAATGGTTGATCTTGATCTTGATTTTATTTATTTTTTATTTGTAAGAATGATTATATTTAAATAAAATCATATTTCTCATAGATTTATTATCTGCTCGATTATCTACCTGTCATCACTATTCATAGGCTTGCGCCGGATACAAAGAAGCAAAAGCCATCATCATTGTTCAAGAGAGACAAATAGCTCAATACGATTCTTTTTCTTTTTTTTTTATTCTGTTGAGTAATATGTGATTGATGCATAAGAATGCAATGAAAGAAGGTTATAATGTATCCTCATGCCTGAGTCGTTTTTGATGAGCGATCGTTGAACTGAAGGGGAAGGATTCGCCTGAACTATGAATATTATTATGTCAATCATAGTGTGTCGGTATTGATTCTTTCGTATAAACAAACTTCTCTCTTTTTGATATTTTGCTGATCATCAGAACCTAGAGGTTAAATAACTCCTTCGGCGGGTCAATGATACGTGCATTTTCCCACATCGTTATTATTCTTGCATTGTCGTAAATATTAAGTCAGTTGACGACGTAGACACACTGGCCAAGGTCGTCGACTTCCCCATTTTTTTTCTCGTTCGTTTCTTTTGTCTACACCCGCTCATGTACGCACCTCTACGTCTTTTTCTTATTTACTTGCCGTATGTCTCGGGACACAGAGACCAAACATTTATATTTTTTTTGTTCTTTCTGCTGTGCCGAAAAATAAGGAGATCAACAGCTTGCTATTTCTTTCTCCTTTACATTGCGTCGGTTGTTGTTCAAGGCGAGTGAGAGAAAGACGGGAGCGTGCTCGCAACAAATCTTCTGTTAGCGGTGCCGCATTGCACAGGAATAAGGAGAATATACTCAATATCTTATGTAAGAGCAACAGGCCTTTTTCCTTCTTTACACATAAGACAGAGAAAGAAACGAAGAAAAAAAGGCTATTGCATGCAACGAACAAATGATCAGGCTTGTCTACATGCATTTTTATCGATAGAAGAAGAAAAAAAAGAAAGAACAAGAGACAGAGCGAACTTCATTCATTCAGAGAAAAAAACCAAGACGCAAAAAAAAAGAAAAAATCTCTCTTTTTTTTGCGCGGAACTTTTTTGGCCATTTTTCCTCTTTTTTCCCTTACTGATTCGCTGTACTCCCTCGTTTCATTGTCGTCATCTATGGCGTCCTTTTTTTTTCTTTCTGGCCTTATTGCGCTAATCGACAGAGACATCAGTGCGTCGAAAGTACACACGTGATACCTTAAATGTAGAGAGAGAGAGAGAGAGAGAGAGAGGGAGAGAGAGGGGGAGGGGGAGAGAGAGCAAAAAACACCTTCATATACATAGATACGCTTCGGAATCGATTGCTTTGTGAAGGCATAGTCTCACATATATATATATATATATAAATTTATAAGTATAATGACTAGGTACAAGTGACACAATTAGTGTCGATGGTAAGCTAAACACTCACTGACTTCGAAAGACATTTATTTTTTTATTTATGATCATAAAGGCTTATTGACCTTGATTTAAATTGTGTTGAAAAACAATTCAATAAAAATTGTTTTCTTCTTCTCTCTCTTCATTTTCAGATTGTTGTCGGGTTCCATCGTTAGCTGACAGCTAAAAGGAGAGAAAAGAGTGTAAGAAAGCAGGTTTCCAGCATGACCCGTTAAGTATTATACAGATCGTGGCCTGTTTGCTCGATAGGCCTCTATAAAACGAGCGAAATAAACACAAAATGAATGAAACTAGCAATATTAACGGTAGCTCAACCGGTGGCGTTTGTTCATCGTGTCTTAAAGAAATGCCTCTTGTTATGACATCATCATCCTTATCTCGACTTTGCTCGAATTGTATCACTGAATTTATTGATCCACAACAACAATTTTCATTGCCTATGAACAATAAATTTCCACTTTTGCCTCCATCGCAACCTTTATCAAGTATGCAGCAGCAGCAGCATCCACAGCAACAACAACAACAGTCCCAATCAATATTACAACCGAATTTTTCGCCATTATCGTCATCATCAGCCTCTTCGACATCATCAATATCATCCACTAATCGACGTTTTAGTGCATTCGATCCATTTACATCCGGTAATGATATAAAAAGTAGTTTTCTACAACCATTGACTGACTTAAACAATGCGTTTTCATCTTTAAATTCATCAAATTTAACTAATAATAATGATTCTGAATCGACAACATCTGACTTTATGCGTTATTTTCATAATTTTCTTAATGGAAATAATCATAATAATATCGGCGATCGTGATAGTCCTACCAGTAGTGTTCAAAGTAATGATTTTTCTCCATTCTTCACTCCAAATTCAACCAATAATAATTATCCACCACCTCAATCTTTACTGCAACGTCAACATTCAGCATTTTCATCTGTTGATTCAACAACAAGTTCCACACCATCATTAAATCGTTCATTAAACAATGATATTCCGCCGGCACTATGCTGTTTCGCCAATAATCCTCCGTATACATTCTGTATCGACTGTGAAACATCATTGTGTGAGAAATGTGCATTAACCCACCCGAAGATGCTCGGTTTTAAAGATCATCGACAACAATTATTATCCTCCTCACAATTTAATATTAACAACAACAATAAAACTGTCAATCATAATAATAACATTAATAATTCTCGGTCAATCATTGGTCAACCACCACGACAACAACCACCGCCAGATATATTACCATTAAGTGCAGGCATGATTTTTATTTTCCTATTTATTTATTTCGCAAGGACACTTTCTTTTTTTTGCTTCGTAGTTCGCTTATCACAACAAACAACACCATTCGATTCTTCTCTGAATCGATCTTCATCAACAAATAATTCATCGAATGATGTTCAATCGTTATTTAGCTCATTTTTTTCTCAATTATCACTTAATACACCTAATAATGAGACTTTAAACAATAATAATCACGCACCCCCATCACCTTCGATATCATCGACTACTATATTTTGCCATGAACATTCAAATTTAAAGGCATCCTACTATTGTGATATGTGTTCACGTGCATATTGTCATGACTGCCAAGTTCTTCATGCTCAACAGCATACACTATCATCATTGCAAGATACAATTGACAGCGCTCGACAATTAACGAAACAATTTCTAATCGAATCCCAAACATTATTGTATCATCTCGACGAATCATTGAAACAATCGACGCGTACGATAGAGAATATTTCAATAAAAAGTGCAACTATTGAAAATGAAATACGTACAATGATCAAGTATTTTCTTGACATACTTTCACAACGACAAGATTTCCTATTGAAAAATGTTGATAAAATACAAACAATGAAAACGCAAACCTTACAAAGACAAATCAACGAATTAAATCAAGTTATTAAACAATTACACTTAACCATACTTGGTAAGCTGTCAGAATGATCTACCTATAAATATTTCTTTACATTTTTCTTCTTCTTCTTCTTGTTCATCATCTAAATAGATTGTAATGAATGTTTAAAAAACGGCACCGATGCTGATTTAATTCGTATACGAACTCGTTTATGGAATGAAACGATTAAAATGAAACAAACCTTATTATTATATTTAAAACCTATTGAAGATGATTATATACAATTTCAAGGTTCGCCAACGTTAATCAATAAGTCTTTGATAAATTATGGCCAATTAATTACTTCAACATATCCATCATTATGTGAATTATATGGTGATTCACTTCATTTTACTATTCGTAATCGTTTAACAGTTTTAAATTTACAAACACGTAGTCATCTTGGCGAATTACGAACAACAGGTGGCGATAATATTCAATGTTGTCTAATCGATACAGGTGCAAATCAAACTGTTTCATGCGACATATATGATCGTCAAAATGGACAATACTTTATAACTTACATAGCGCAAAGTGATAATTTACATATATTAAATGTATATGTAAATAATGCTCCAATAAAAGATAATCCATTTCGTATACAAATCAAACAAAATCGTAATTATTCAACGATTGGTTTAAAATTAGAATTTGAAATCGGCGGTGAAGGTGATCAAGATGGTAAACTATGTCGGCCATGGGGTGTTTGTTGTGATCATCAATCAAATATAATTGTTGCCGATCGGTCCAATAATCGTATACAAATATTTAATAAACATGGGCAATTTCTAAGAAAATTCGGCACACAAGGTAATCGTCCGGGACAATTTGATCGGCCAGCTGGTGTTGCATTCGATAAACAATTACATCGTGTTGTAGTTACAGATAAAGACAATCATCGCATACAAGTTTTTACATCTACTGGAGAATATATATTTAAATTTGGTGAGAAAGGTACGAAACCCGGTCAATTTAATTATCCATGGGATGTAGCAGTATCATCAACATCGCAAATCTTAGTATCAGATACACGAAATCATCGTATACAATTATTTTCCAAAGATGGTCTATTCTTAAGAAAATATGGCTTTGATGGGCCTATATGGAAACAATTTGATTCGCCACGTGGAGTCGTTTTTACTCATGCTGGCCATATAATTGTATCAGATTTTAATAATCATCGACTGTTATTCATATCATCAGATTTTCAAAATGCTCGATTTTTCGGTAGCGAAGGCTCAGGTAATGGACAATTCCTTCGTCCACAGGGTGTTGATATTGATGCCGAAGGAAATATAATTGTTGCTGACTCAAGAAATTATCGTGTACAAATTTTCTCACCGCAAGGTGTTTTTAAAACAAAATTCGGTACCCAAGGTTCAGGTCCTTTACATATGGATAGACCAAGTGGATTGTGTGTTACACCGGACGGTCTTCTTCTTGTCGTAGATTTTGGTAACAATCGTATTCTTGCTCTTTAATTCTATATGTAGTACGATTATATTTCTCACACATTTCACTCAGGTATCTATCTATCTCTCTCGCCCTATATAAATATATATATTCACATATATCAACCCGGTAGATATGCACAAAGAACAGTCTCTTTTTCTTACTCTCGGAACTTTTGAAAACAAAACTATGATTAAACAAAAACGACTTAATTCTTTCATTTTTCTTCTCTCTATGAGTGAGGCACAAAATTCGAACAGTAGCAGGAAAAATACAGTTTACTTAGATGTGTACATATTAAGTCTCATTAATTGTTGTTTGTAATCAATGTTCATTGAATGTCTCTCTTGGGTTTTCCTCTCTTTAATGAGCACAGTGTGCTTCTTTAAAACAAAACAGAACAAAACAAAAGACTTTCCCACATTTTGTTTTGTTTGTAATGTCTTTAGCTTCAAGTCGCTAGGCCTATCTGCAGGGTAACACATAAACAGACTTCATATAATGTTCTCTCGTTATTTAACTCAGGAACACGTCTCTGTGTGCTTCTCTCAGGATGAACAGTAGTGACTTTTTTCGAAAACAGTACTACATTAATTCGTTTTTTCTGCAAACTTTTTTTTTGTTTTAACAAAAAACAAATACTACAGGATATTTTTTTTCATTGCTGCGGCTGCTGATAAACAAACAACAGGAGGCACACGAACAGAGTTCTTCATTTTATGTTTTTCTTTTTTCTTATATTAATGCAGTTTGTAGGCATTATCTTGCCACTCGGATATTTAACGAAATCTATATTCAAAAACAAAAGAAATACACTAAGTGTTTTTTTCCGTCTTCAGCCATTGTTTCAAGTTCGCTTCACTCTCTTTCTCTTATAATTTTGCTTTTGCTTTTTTTTTCTTGCTTCAGTATTTGTTCTATACAAGCTGCTATTTCTTCTTAAATATGCGTGTGTGTGTGTGTGTGTGTGTGTATCGTTCTCTTTTGTAACATGATCTTTTCGTTTTGAAACTCGAGTGCAAATTAATAAAAATAAAGTCGATCTATCATTTATTTATTTACTTGTTTAGTTCACCTTCAATTCAAGGTCATTGTCGTGTTTCTTAACACGCATTACTTGTTGACTCTTGTCAAGGTTTTATATTAAGTATTCTATGCGTGTATAATAGGTTGCCTTCGCCGGATAAAAACAGAGTTTGGCATTGAAAAAGAGTTGTTTGTTTCGTTCTCTCGTCTTTGATAGACGTTTGCCCTTGTCGCAATGGTTGGTGCAAAAGAGCGAGCGCGCGCGCGAGAGAGAGAGAGAGGGAGAGAGAGAAAAAGAAAATTGAGAAACTCAAGGAAGAATGTCTACATACATTAATGAACGACTTATGTGTCTCGTTCTTATCAGACAGACATTTTCCGTCAAGGTCAACCAGCCGGAGATGAGAAAAAATGAATAGTTTTTTATGTATATTCTACAGCTGATGTAATGATCAGTTAACCTGGCCGAGAACAAAAAAATATATTATTTGTTAGAACACAGCAAGGTCGGGATACTCTGGCTGCTTTTATTTGTTTAGTAAAAAATCATCGCTCAAGGAGGACATGATCTTAGATGTATTGAATTGTCGCGACAAAAGCAAGCGAATGGTGATGAACCAGCTGCATTAGCAAAGCAATAACCGGGCGAACAATTCAATTCGCATACAGCTAAATAGAGATACAATCAATTAAAATAAGAAAAAAAAACGACTAATTTAATTTACCTGGGCGAATACTCGTTTCACATGTGTTGCCGGTATAACCAGGCGCACATGTACAAGTATAAATACTTCCAGACGCAGTGCATGTACCAGCATTTTTGCAAGGATTACTATCGCAAGGTGCTGAAATAAAATTTCAAATAGAATTTCAAATTTGTCTTTCAACTGTAAAACTTACAATAAACTGATGTTACTTCTTCACATCGTTTTCCCCGAAAAGGATTTGAACATCTACATTCAAATGTCAATGCAGCTGAAGTACATACACCATTATTCAGACACGGTTGCGGTAAACAATAATCTTTTATAATAGAAGAAACATCGATATTAGAATTCCGTAGAGTTTCGAAAGCAACATACTGGTTACAAAACTTTCACATCGACTTCCTGTATAGCCTGGTGGACAAGCACATGCATATACTCCATTTGACAGCGTTGAACATGTACCACCATTGCTACAATAAGCTGGACTGCATGTTGCTTTAATAGAGAGTAGATTAGATCTGTTTTGTTTTAATTGTAAATTAAAAAACATACCAATTACAAATTCGCAATTTCTACCATTATATTGAGGAGGACATTGACATGAATAATCGTTGTTGCTTAATGTAATACACATTGCACCATTTTTGCAAGGGGTAGGCTTGCAAACTTACATTTTTTCCAATGAAAATAATTTAAAAAATCGCTTCGAACTATCTATCCTACCTGTTCCTACTTGTACTGCACTTTCACAATATTGACCGACGTAACCAGCAAGGCATGAACACTGATAGGTATTTCCAGCCAAAATACAACTGGAGAAAAAAATGTGTATCAATACCGTCGAGTTTTTTTTCTTGGCGATAAACTTACGCTCCACCATTCATACACTGAGGATTACCTTGTAAACAAGTATTCCCTACACGAAATTTTAAAAAAATTAATTTTGGAAAAACTAAAAAATTCTCTTACCGAAATTAGGTGTGCCACAATTTACTCCTGTGTAACCAGGAAGACATGAACATACATAGGTATTTCCAGACGAAACACAACTGGGGAAAAAAATGTTTATCAATACCCTCGAGTTTTTTTTTCTTGGCAATAAACTTACGTTCCACCATTCAAACACTGCGGATTATTCTGTAGACAAGTATTGGCTATACAAAATTTAAAAAAAATTATTTTTGAAAAAATTAAAAAAATTCTCGTACCAAAATTAGGTGTGGCACAATTTACTCCTGTGTAGCCAGCCGGGCATTGACATGTCCATCCATTACCACCAGGTGAAATACATCTAAGCATTTAATTCAAAATATCTCAGCTAATTTTCATTTTTTTGTTCATACGTTCCGCCGTTTTGACAAAGATTTGGACTCGTAATACATACGTTATTGTTCACTGAAATATGGATTCTATCGTAAAAATTGATTTCAAGAGAACATTTCTTACTGATTATTTGTTCACATGTTTGACCCGTATAGGACGGTGGACAATTACAGTAATATGCGCCGTTGATTGTCAAGCAACTAAAACATCTCCCATAACGAAAGCATGAAATAATCAATATCTTACAGTGCACCATTTTTGCATGGTGACGGCGAACAAACATCAACTATAGGCAAATATAACATCATTATCAGAAAAACAAGAACAAAACTTTTCCTTGTTACCACTATTTGGAGTTTCACATCGAGGACCAGTAAATGTTGCTCTACAAATGCATTCATATCCTCCTGTATTTATTGCTACACAAGTACCATCATTGTAACATGGTGCATTTATACATGGATTGGCGAATTCTTGAATATACATAAATAAATACAAAAGAACATTCAAATATAACTCTAATCCTATTATCTTCTAATAACACACCACATCGTGAGCCTGAATATCCCGGCGGACAATTACAAAAAAAGGCTGCATTATTATTCAAAGATAGGCAAGTTCCACCATTTGCGCACGGTTGTGATGCGCAAATAGCTAAATCGAGAGAAAAAAAAACATTGATTTTTCTTGTCAACAAACGACTTACATATTGGTTGAACTAATATTTCACAAGTCGATCCCGTGTATTGTGGAGTACATGCGCAAGTATAGGCTCCATTGACACCAGGAACACATATGCCACTATTGAGACAGGGTGTTACTCCTGTAAAGCATCGGTTTATATCTATAAATTTAGTATTTTGGTTTCCAAAAAAGGCAATCGAACGTGGTTTTTCATATACTTTCACATCGTGCTCCATATGTATATTGAGTGCAAGCACATCGATATGGATCATTAAAAACTGCTTGAAGAATACATGTACCACTGTTAAGACATGGAGATGATGCGCATGGTGACGGTGCAGGTGTAACGACTATGAAAAGAAAGCAAAGCAAAAAAGATTTGAAACAACGATTTAAACCCGAACTGCTAACTTGGTTGTACTGTTGTTGTTGTCGTCGTAATCAATTGATCACAATTTTTACCCTCTACAGGAAATTGGGGTGGACAAATACAATTGTACTCAACGGAGTTTATATTTTGGCACGTGGCACCGTTTTTACATGGATTTGAGACACAGGCTGCGAAACAAAAAATGTTCGATCAAGTTCAATAAATACATGTGTTTTAATATTTACGATTGACTTGTCCATGGACTATTGTAGTCGTCCAGAGAACGTTGAAAACGAAAAAACAAAAGGAGTAATGCATTTGAAGATATTATCAAGTCAGAGTTAGAAAAGGCCTTTTATATTTATATCCGTAGAACATTCGAAAAAGCAAAATCTTTATCATCATGATATTTGAGAACGATGGTTTTAAGAGGATATACGAAAATGAATAAATTCAATTAAACGAACGCGTAGAAAACAATGAAATCAAGAAGAAGAGGAAGAAAAATTCAATTAGCAGCTACGTTTATAGTGGCATTGAATCGAAAAAATAAGAATATTTTTAAGTCAATCACAAAAACAATCACTCCGTAGAAATATCCTTTATAACTGATCGAAAACGAGGTTTCCGTAAATTGCTATTTTGTGAGAAAATCTGTTTTTAATTCAAAAAATTGCTTTTTTATTCATAGCTGTTTCACAGTATCATCTTTTTCGTACTTTTAATTCCATCGGTCTGAAAATTTTGATCCCGATCAGCTCTACTGACTGAAGAAACCTTTCCATGAGCGACGAACATATCGTATTAATCTATCACTCTTTCAGTAGCTTTTCAAATATGGATTCAAAACAAAGCCAAAGAGTACCGAATTACTTCGATGATATTTTTTTTGTAGAATATGATTTCAATTCTTTTTCTATCTTGAAGAGAGAAAGTGTGCGCAAGGATGTTTTGCTTTTATATTTTAAGCTCGACATACAATAAATAATGCATGCATTACACCAGTCTTCAACATTCTTTCATCATTGTCTAATCCATTTTCTTCTTTTTCCACATGCTATGCCACTAGTATATTAAAGATGTCTATCTATTTGTGTGCACAAAGGGTGTCGACACGTCATCGGTAGAATGATCGATCGATGTATTGCTCGCCCTATCGTTTCTGTGTTATTGACTTCAATAATTATAGTTAGTATGATCTCAAGAGGCATACAATAAAAAAGGAAACAACGAGAAGTCAAGTAATGCATGACTTTTTTTTCTGTAAGGGCCGCAAATCACTGCACAACAAGAAATATAGCTATTAGAGCCGACAGGATATGAAAATTAAAATGAAGAAACATCAGAGGAACAAAAAACACATCGTCAATTCCCCATACGAGAGTACAAATGCATGTCAATGCATATTAAAATTTGATTTAAAATCGGAATCTCATTAGTCATCTCGAGAATGTCGACGAATGCTATCCGTGAAATAAAAAAACAATCTAACAGAGAGAATCTTTTTTGTTTCACTGAATCTTTACCATAAAAAAATGTGAAACATCATCGAAATAGGACATCTCTGATTTTCGATCCATGTTAAACGATAATGATATTCGCGTTTCTTCCAGTGATAATAAGCCGAACAGGTGTACGCGCGACGGAAATTAATCTCATTCGTCGTTGATCTGATATATTCTTGTTCAATGAGAATTTTTCTCTTTCTATTGACCAACAAAACAGCAAGAAAAGGAGAAAACGAAGAATATAAAAAAAAAAAGGAAAGGAAGAAGACTCATGAGCAAGTCGCAATTTTTTTCAAGATTGATGATTTCATCAAATTAAAAGCGACAATCGATACTCTACGAAAAAGAATACATCAATCTCCATCATAATCTATCATGATGAATCAATACCATCATCCTCAACCATATACAAATTTTCCGTCTCAACATCATTTTCATCCGAATAACGCAACAAATACTACAAATGTTTTCCAAACACCGTCAACACATTATCATTCAGTCGACGAGAATTATGTATATACACCATTGGCACCACCCAAACATCAACTGACATATTATGATTCTGAAAATTCCTATGAACAATATTCTTTGATAGACAATTCAGCAACAGCTGAATCAATTTATCACCCGATTCCATCGTTTGATCAATGCCATAGTTATTCAAGTGCTTTACCATTAAATCAACCATCCTACGAAGATTTTTCATTATCTAACAATCAAGCGCAAACTCTTGAACAGTCATCAATCGAAGGACAACCCATTGCTACCGAGACAAAATATAAATGGATGCAAATTAAGCGTACACCAGCAAAAGCATCAGGTATTATACATATATTAGTACGCGTCCGGAAAACGATTCCATCAGATACGCGAATGTCCAACAAATAGACGATGAGAAATTTGGAGAAAAAAAGAAAAAAACTTCATCTGTTATATTATCTACCAGCATGTCACGATAGATGATTGATGTAGTAGTTTGAATACCGCTGAGAAATTCTCAAGCGATCATCATGATAACAGATTTTTATTTAAACATGTACGCGAGGATCCCAAAACCAAATGGATTCGAGAATTCGTCACTTGAGCTTCGCGCGGAAAACACTTTCTTGATGATATTAGAAAAAGTACAGATAAATCATCAAAGTTACGAGTAGAAAAGAAGCATCTATCATCACTTCACTTCCGTCTTAATGTTTTCTTATCGATAACATTTCCGTGATGACGTAATACCTACACATGTTTATTTGAAGGTAAACCGGCAGATTGCGTCTCCGGTTCGTCGACAGAAAGCTTAATAAATAATGCAGCAAATAATGGTCGAACAAGTTATTCAAATAAACAATTAACAGTAGGATACGAGAGACAATTCGTCGGAGTTATTTTTCTATAAGAAAATTCTTTTTTTTTTATTTAGGAACTCGAGAAAGAATTTCATTTTAGTCGCTATTTAACACGAGCGAGACGAATTGAAATAGCTACATTATTGCAATTAAATGAAAATCAAGTAAAGGTAAATTTCCCATTCGGGTTTTTCATTATTCGAAATGTTAAATCTTTCCTTCTTTTATCTAGATTTGGTTTCAAAATCGTCGTATGAAAGATAAAAAACGAAAACTTGAAAGTACGTGATTCATCGATAAATTCCTCTTTTAAAATCTTGTTTTTGCTAATATTCTAGCAGATAATCTGGCTTATGATTCCATGTGAAATATTTAATGTTATATAGACAGTATTGTAATTGATCGGTGTTGTTATTATTGATTCTTTTCTTTTTTGCATTGAATCTATTTAAAGAAAACAAAAAAAGTCGTCTATTTCAAATCGTTTCGTATCACTGGCTATTCAATTTTTGTTTTTCATGCCACAGATTAACGAATAAAGTCAAAAATGCCTTGAGGATAGATCGACGCAGTGTAGTCGATCACTCACTTCGTTATTTTGACACGTTAAAAATTATGAGAGATTGAATAGGAATATATCACTTGTCTGATGCGTGAAAATTCTCTACTGTGAAAATAAAAATCAAACCGGAAGTTTTCTTTTTCTTCATATCAATTGCTTGTCGACATCACAACAATGATTCAAACGGATATTCTCATTCATTCATCGAATGACATCGGCGAATTTAATTCGATTACGTTTTTCCGTGTCATCAGGGAGCGATCAATTAAATGCATTGTTGTTTTATATGTAAATTTAAGAGGGAAACCCTCTCAGGGAATATAAATATATTTATATATGCAAGTAGCAGTGTGTGAAATTGAGTGAGGAGAATGAAAAGATCAAACGATATAGTAAATACAGTTTGAATTTAATCTTTAAAACTAATATACTGATTATGAAAATAAGAAATACATTTAAACGGGATAGCAGCATTCTTTATTTATATTTAGGTACTGTTTTTCAACCGAGAGAAGAGGCCTATTTTCCGATAGGGGGCGCTTATTTTACAGAAATCGATTTTTCGATTGTAATTTTGTAATCTACGCATACATCGCAGCGTTTGCCAGGATTCCAGCAAAACAATTATTTGCAAAGGACGGCTCCCTTGGGATTTATCAGGACACTATCTATGGGATCAACAGCAAGAGAAGATTGAAATCATCCGATATTTGTACGAGTTTCTATCTTATTTATTCGTATTAATAATAATCAATTATTTTGAACACTTCATTGTAACTAGTTGCGAACTGACGACACGACTTCCAGATGCTAAGTGTAAAAACATTTGTTGCTATGTTGTAAAACTACTGCGAGTGCTGTTCTTCATAAACTAATTGCTATTTTTCCTAATAAAAATTTTAATTTTCCTTCGTACTTTTTCTAAAATTGATCAATGGAACGCAGCCCAGGACGAGAAACCAGACGGCAAGATCTTACAAGAATCGTACGCTTGATCATATCTGATCTGATAAGATCAGACGCAAAATCGTCGTCTCTGATTTCTAACACTAACTCGTATCAGAAGATTCTTGAAAGGTTCTGTTACCTATAGAAATATCACTGTGACATTTTAATTCAACTAATATCTCCTTAAAATATCGCGACAAATTTGTATTGAAAATAAATTGTATGTGCAATCTGACGTCAGATTTTTCGACCTGGGATACCAAGCAGAAATGGTAGAACTTCCTTTCGTTTTTTTTTCTCAATAGAATGGTATTCAATGTTAAATTATATTTTAGTCCTATTTTGGATTAAAAGTTGTTTATGATTCACAAGTTAACAGTTTTCTAATTCGATATCACAATGCATGACCTCCATTGAATTTTCTTTTACAATTGAAATTGCATTTTTTTCAATCGCACGATTATTTATCCAAGAAAATATACAATTTAGCAACTTCGTTTAGCTGGGAATCTCTTAAGTTCACATGTTGTTAACTATCTTTTTATTAGGCGCTAATGTAGCCTTCTCTCTCGTTAATATTGGCCCACAAAATGCTTTTCAATCAACCCGAAAGAGAACTAAATGCTTTTGACATTTGATTATCTTCATGCTAGTTAACTCCTCTATCATTGTATAATTATAGCAAATGCATAAAAATCAAATCTTTTCTTGTCAATTCAAAGTATAATTATGTCATTTTTAGATTTCACAACAGTTAATATTGGTACATTATACCAAAAGGCAGTTGTCGTGATAGAAAACCTTGATTGTAAATAATACTTTCCCATTATCGTTTCCCTACGATATATAGCTGCGTCATTCGCATATGTCCTTAAACAGCACAGATCATCGATACGCTACCAAAGCGGTAACTAGTTTTTAAATTTGGTAAACAAAAGATTTCTCTCTAGCCTATAGAATGAGTACATTTACTGACATTTCATAATGAATTTTTAACACGCCGCCAAGGTTTAATTCACAATCTTATGACAATCGTCAAGGGTCGTACGTAAAGAAGAACTAATTTTGCACTGATGTATAATCGAAATTATAAATACGTAGTGGAAAAAATCATCATTTTAACTTTCACAGTAGTTTATCTTATCTTCTATTCAACGTTCTTTTAGTAGTGATGATACCAACAAGATAAATGAAGGTCGACAATGTTCGTTTTACACCGAATTTTTTTCTCTCAAAACTAAGTCATATGTTTATAATTTGCGATGTTAATAAATTGAGAACGGCAACAACTGTTTTACAATAATTGAAACATTACATTTGGACAAAACCATTGATTGTAACATATGTTTCACTTCTGAATCGAAAATTTTCTAATTGCGAATCTTCACACACACACACACACACACACACACACACCAGATCTACATTGAAGTAGAATTCGTTGTATCAAAAACAAATGATCGATAGGATCGAAACTTATCTTTTTCTTCAAATCCCTCTGTATTCTCTTGCTGACCGAATCATCATCAATGTGTTTCAAACCCCCATCCTATTTAAGTCACCGTATCAATCATATTTCTCTAATATATAATTATAACTAATGTGAATGAATTTTATTTTCCTAGAAATATCGTATCTACATCTTGGCATGAATAATTAGATTGTTAAACGATGTTAATTAATCATATTTTTCTTCTTCTTCGTCTCCTCAACACCACATGAAGTCTATTCAAGCGAACAAAAAAAAGAAACTTATTAATCTTTTGAAATTTAATGAAACAAGCTGTAAAGAATGTCTTACAACTGTTCTGCAAAATCGAGTGCTACCCGACTAACCAAAGGTGATCGAGACCATGTGCCGCCCTAGCATCAGAACAATGAAAAATGTAAATGACTCCGCAATTTACACTATTGTATGGATGATCTTCAATACTAACTAACGGGGGCATTGTATTCTTTCTTTTTTTCTCCCTATAATTATTCTCCAGTTAAATGCATAGTCAGTAGATAGATTCTTTCATGTTCTAATGCAAGGCAATCTTTTAATTTGAAAATAATGTCTTTCATAGGCATTTACATCTAATCATATACGACTGTATTATATATTTGGAGGTACACACAAAAAGAGAAAAAGAACGTCCAATCAGCAAGAATAATGTGAAAATATACGCCATTTGGTTAAACAGGTGTTCTACAGTTTAATTAGAAAATTTATATTCATCAGAGATAGTGTTTTTAATAGAAAGATAAATTATTGACGATAGAAAAACATTTGACAATCGCGTAGAATAGCTCGAACAAACGTATTTTGGTAAGTAATTCGATAGCATTGTACTATTATAGTATGGTATAGATCTTCGTATTGTTTTTGCATGTGACAATCAAATGATATAGCACCGAGCGGATTAATTACATTTTTTTCTTTTCTCGCCTATTGCCGATCGACATTCTGCAATGACTATAGTTTGTCTAATTAGATGGCGGGCCATTTCTCTTCACATGAAAGGAACAAGGCCGTCTGAATGTGATGCTGAAACGTGTGTTTGAAGTCGTACCGACACGTTTTATGTGTGAGGAAGAAATCTCGAAAGGGAAAGACGGTCATGCTCCATGCCCGCTATTACTGTCGCCTGTTTTTGTCTTTCCTTCTATGATGATAAATAGTTAGATAAATGAAATGAGAATTTCACTGTTTGTTTATTTGTTGTTCAGTTTAGCATCGAAATTATCTCTTCGCATGACCTCGACTAGTTAGATTCTTGTTTTATCGATGTATTATTCTATTGGTTAATTGCAGCCATTTATGCCTTTCGCATGACATTTAGTGCACCTAGTTGTCAGCACATATCAACTGATTCACTGCCATTTTGACAGATCGCGAGAAAGTGCATAAAAGCGTTAGAAAAATCGACCATTGATAAAGCATCGAACGCTAGAATATATAAGAGAAGAAACGAGTCCTATTCATTGCCTTCTTTTGTTTCTCGTTTATATGTTTTTTTTTATTGATTATTTGTGAGATGATAATCAGTGAATGAGTTGTATGTTTTCGTTTGGGAAAAAAACAAAATACTTTTATCTTGCATAAATATTTATTTCTAGATTTGTTTCATCATATTTTCCTTGAAAATTTTAACATACAAACAAGAAAAAATAAACAAATTTAGTTTTATTTTACCGATAGATTCAATGTAAACAATAAATAAAAGTTTTTTTCCTATTGATTGTTTTGTTTCATATTTCTTTCGTCGTCCATGTCTCATGTGAGTAATTTTTTCATCGATGATATCTTTAATTATGCCTTGAAATTTCAGCTCGAAGGTTCAGAATGCATCGAAGCCTTAATACCGTTTGTCAAAGTATTTTCATTTACATGGTTCAATTTACAAGCTGCAAAACGTCGATATCAGAAACAACACGAAACACCGATGCCTGTCGAGATGGAACGAGTGATGAAGGAAGATTTTATGGTTTGTTTGCTTGCTTGTTTTTTCTACTCGATCATGGAGAAAGTCTTTTCGCATTATTTTTAGAATCAACGTTATGCGGATAAGATCAAATGGACAGTTCGAATATTAGCAAAATTACGGAAAGATATAAAACGTGAATGTCGTGGTGATCTTGTTAAAACGATAGCCGAGGGAAATATTCAAAGTCCATGTATCATATCGAACGCTGATACGAAAAATAAAATGCGTCGTATTGATTGTTTACGACAAGCTGATAAAGTTTGGCGATTGGATGTTGTTATGGTTGTACTATTTCGGGGTAAAGCTTCTTTTCTTTTTTTATTGAAATTTAATTCGTTGGCGATCTTTAAAGGAATTCCATTGGAAAGTACCGATGGTGAACGATTAAGTAAATGTAAAGAATGTAAAAACCCAGCATTATGTATTAATCCATATCATGTTGTTATACATGTAAAAGAACTTGAAGTTTATCTTGTAAATTTTATAAATAATGCACGTAAGTATAAATATTCGGGACGACAGATGGTACAGTAGGTTATTTTCAATTATTCATAGAATCGTCACCGGCGAACATCATTCCAAGTGTGTTTTCTACCAGTGAATTACAACACATGGCAACTAGTACGTATCAAATGATGAGATAACATCAGACTAATTGGTTGTATGAAAGACGCTACTTTTGGCTGCATGTCAATTAATATGAAACTTTGCTGCTTAGCGTCGACATGCACTAGATCGATTTGGCAGCAATGTGACTTCGTGTCAGCTTGATTGATCACTAGTCCCATCGGGCATTCATTTTGATAGTACTTGTCCGATCAGATTATATTTTGATTGGAGATAGAACGTCTCCAGATGTTCTTTTTAACTTGAATGATTTTTCTTTGTCTAGTGATACGGATAGGTAAATCCTAACTTAGATTATTTCTGACTTAAAATCGAAGTAGAACGGGTGGAAGATATATTTTTTCCGTTTGTAATCTATGGAGTAGAAAATAAAGTTCTACGTTCGATTTTAGGTTCGATTAGTGAAGGTGGCTCAACAAAAGAAGTGCTTGGCGCGGATTATTTAGGTTCAATGTTAAAAATGGAAACAGACGATTATGCGGACCCGCAGCCTATGTCAGGTACACAACAGCCAGATCTATTGAAAATGTGTCGAAATAGGTATAAGAATTTGAAAAGCAACTCAACCGAAATTAGCTAACTGAAACGTTTTTTTCTAGAAAACCAAGTTTATCCGGTAGCTCTCGTACTGCTAAACGCCGTCGCACATTGAACAATACATGTTCCGCTGATGAGAGTGATAGTCATGATGTCAACGAAGGTCCAGGTAATATATGTTCTTGCATTGTTAAAAAGTTTCTTAATTTCTGGTTTTTAACATTTCAGTTTCCAGCTATGATGTATACGAATCTAAAATGCCATCAGCAAACAATAGCGAACCTTCGACATGTCGTATATCATCAACCAACGATTCAAATGCATATACAAATTTTCAACAACAAGACGATATTAATATTCTACCGAAATCAGTCATAGAACCGAATAAAATCGAGCCTGCAACACCGCGGCCTCCATATTCTCAAATAGGTATTCATAATCATGTCTCATTGAATTTACATTTTAACAATCAACAACAACACCAACAACAGCAGCAACAACAACAACAACAACAGCAACCAAAAGCCTTATCAACAACAAATCAACAACCATCAGATTCAAAAATTATTTCCGAACGTTTCATTGAATCACTTGTACAACGTTTTAACGATACTCAACAACATCAGCGTACATCGTCGCATCCGCATACGATTGAATATTTTCATCAAGATCCTCAACCAGAACGAACATCTAACAGTCAAAAGACTCCCAGTAAACTATTTCCAAAGCCATTAACAACCACTGCAATAAATATTTTATCGTCACGAGAAAGACCTATTACAACCTCATCGAATTATGACACTTCTTTTGTTCATCCGCAGGCCAATGAATTTAAGGATAATAAAACAAATTCAAATAATGATAATAATAATGCCATGCGTTTATCATCGGCAGCTGATCGAGTATTACCAGCATTTCACACATTTGCAGAATTGAAAAGTTATCTACAAACTATCGGATTAGATGTTGAATTAGTACCAGCATCAAATACAACAGCAATAGCGCCAGCGACATCAACTAATATTCATCAACAAACAAGAAATGTTGATCCTGTTCAACAGAGATTATCAACTAATGAACAACAATATCAAGTTCGTTCAAACACGGTTAATATTGCACAAACAGCACAGCAACCACAAATTGTTATGCTGTCTAATAATGTTAGCAATCGAAATGCGCTTAACGATGATGGTAAATGCAATCGATCAAGTAAGCAATAAGACAGATTTCTTCTTCGTCCATGAAATCATTCGTTTGCACTCGAAACACTTGTCATTCTTTGTTTTAGCTTCAATAAGTGTACCACCGAACATTCTTGCGGAAAAGCTGCTTGAGTATGCATCGAGTACATCTGTTCGTCATTCAAATATTCTATCGCGTCCTTCGAATTTATCCTCTCAACAACGTCGTTCTCCAACGAAAGCACCCATCGTTTCCGATATTGCTAATCTTTTATCCGTATCAAATAATAATAATCCTAAAGACCAACCTATTGTTCAACAAGTTACTCGCCAAACACTGCTTCCGCCTCCACCACCACCGCCTTCATCTGCACCCACCACAGCTGTTTACCATCGTTTAACATCAGCCGATAAAATTTCAACTATGGTCAAGCGTGATCTCATTCACGATGATGTTCATTTGCATGATCGTGAAGTTGAAGAATATATGAACATGACAGCAACAGGTCGTGCATCAAAACCTCGTAAAACCACGTCTCAAACAATCAATGATTCAACAACAAAATCCATTGTTTTAGAAAGTGGTTCAGCTAGTAATAGTAATGATAGTAATGTTTCTTCGACATCCTCGTCATCTTCAATAAATAATTCTACAAATAATAATAACAATAATAATAATAATAATAATAATAATAATAATAATAATAATGTTGGTTTAACAAATAGTATTAATAAAACGAAAAATAATTCGACAATATCAAGTCAAGAGTCACGCAATATATGTGATCTATTATTATTATTATACGAACAAGAGCGTACACGTAGTACACAATTACAAAAACAAATTGAACAGGTTAGTCGACAGCAGCGTTCAAGAAATTCAAGTGGACAATCACATTCAAGTGAATCTCAGACTGGTCTAGAAACACCACAAGGTCCAGGTAATGGAACTACGAATTCATCAAGAATGTTAAGTCCAGCAACGTGGATATCAACAACAGGAAAAGACAAAACATCTGTTCATAGTCAACAAAATCATCAAACATTAAAATTTGATTCGGCAACATCAATTAATGGTTCACCACCTGAATCACAAGATGTAGGATATGATTTTTTCTGAGAAAAATTTTGTCTAACTGGTGGTGCGAAAGTTTCTCTACAACATCTTTTTTTATTTTAGTCTGCTTAAAAGTATGTCATGTGAATTAAAACCTATGGTGTAGAGCCAGACTCTTGTGCTCTTTCTACGTAAAGAAAAGCTCTTGGTGAAAAAGAAGGATGTAGAAAAAATGAAAATTGAGGTGAAAAGTTTCGGATCCCAATAATGGAAGTAGAATTCTTTCAAAGGTTCTCTCACTGCTCTCGAGCAAAATCAGAAAAAACTTTATGAGTCCATAATCGGAAAGGGCATCGAATTCTGGTACTAACTCGTATGTTTTCACTCATCTCAAATACTTTCAAATGAGTCAAAAATGAACAAACATTTTGTCCAGAAACTTTCGCACCGCTAGTTATCATTTTGCTAATTTTCTCGGAGAGTCTACGACAAATAGTTTAATCCTGTTTTAAATATTTAGTGTTCACCGCCTGATCCAAATAAAAGTGGTTTAAGTCCAACGAAAGTTGTACAATTTTCACAATCAATTGGTTCAGCACAAAATCTCATTCCACGTCCAGTACCGATGTTAGCAACAAATGATGGTCTCGTACGACATACATCGTCGACATCGTCGTCACATGCGGCTACACCAACTGGATCGACTAGTTCATCAAATAATGGTTTGACTCGAAATATTTTCTTACAAATATGATTTTCTTATTGTTTGTATTTAGGTGTTCTCTATACGCCTGGCAATCGTATTTTTCAAAGTCCACTCGGACAGGTATTTCAAAATAGACTGATATGCTACTGCTGTCTTTCATCATCAGATAGCACATGATAGAATTTTTTCCTAGTTCCATGAGCAATGGCAACATATGTTCGATCATATATTTATAGAATAAGACTAGAATAATATTGTATTAAGACACTATGATAAACAATCACAGGAAATGGACCAGTCGTGCTTGCATATGTGAAAGCAGAAAAATAATCTAGATTAACATCATGCCGTCTTGATGTTAATCATTAGTTATCTCGAATTATTTTAGCTAAAATAATTTTCTATTTCTTTCTTATAGGCATTTGCGGCATTAAGTCCCGCTCTAAGTCCATTTTTATCGCCTTCAACTAGTCGTGCTGGTACACCAAGTGAATTAGTGATAATTCCGGCTGATTTACTCAATGTACTAAATAGTCGTATTTGGAGTGAAGACGAATTATTGCAAGCTTTTGTTAATCATTTGGATTCTGGTGGTGTGTAATCGTACAGATTTTGTTTTTTTCTCTTTGAATCATTACACATGATTGAGAATCGTTCATGTACCGCAAAAGACATTTCAAATGTTTAATTGCGACATCAAGCTTTACTCATTCTGTGCTTTATTTTCTTATTCTAGGTTTCCAACAGCTGTTATGATGTTATCATTTTTTGTTATTGTTTACATTTGCACAAAGAAGAGAAAAAAAGGACTGTCCGATGTTATTGAATTGCTTAGCAATTACACATAAAACATTGTAGATCGTGTTTATTATAAAAAAAAATCAGATTTATAGTTAAAAAAAACAGTATAACTGTATGTTCAACATTTTTTATCCGTCGTCCAACAAAAAGAATTAGAAATAAAAGATTGTGTATATATATATATATATATGTGTGTGCATTTTATTTTTTATTAGATGCTCGAAAATATTGGTTTCTATCAACTGTTTTTTCGACATCTCAAATGAGCGAAATTAGCTTTTCAAACATGTTAATTTAATTTCTTTTATTTTTATCACAAATAGGCTCAGGCCGTCGATCACGAGTTAATAACGAAGAACCCAAACAGCAAGGAAAATCAACAAATATAGGAAATAATAATAATAATAATGGCAATGGTAATGGTAGTGGTAAAACAAAAAATATTGAAAAATAAGCAGCGAAAAATTTGGGATTATTGTTTTTGTAAAATTACTACGTGTCGTCTGTTTGCTGTGTAGTGCTTCTCATATCTATCATCCTTTTTTATGTATATCGAGTAATTTTTTGTAGTTAGAAAAAGGGAGGCATTGGTGTTTTTGTTTTTTTTAATTTCATGGTTTGATCAGAAAAAGAGAGCTCATACAAGGTTCTCTTGTCAGATAAAGTGCAACATAAACGCTTTGGATACGTGAGAGAGAGAGAGGGAGAAAGAGAGAAAGACATTCTTTTTTTTTTTCTACATATATATATGACTCATTTTTTCATCCAATCTCACTATGTAGTAGTGCTCTTTTCTTTTTTTTGTTTTTCGATGTTGTTCATTTCGAAAGTAATCGAATTAGACGATGCTTTGCCAATTGCGAGTTCTGTTTTCTTTTCTTTTTTCGTTGTTGTCCGTCATGTCGAACGTCTGTCGTGTTTTGTTTTTCTGGCATAAACTATTAAATCGGTATTAAATATTATTTTATCCAAAATAAAATTGAAAGAAAAAATGCTTAAATTCTACATGATAGTGTAGTATCAAACCGGACCTCTACCGGCGTTTATCCTGTGAACGAAGTTGCTTTCTAGCGCTAGAAAAAGAAACAGTTGTGAACAGTCAACGAATATTGATAGAAATAAATAACGAGTCAACAGAACATACGACGTAAAATCGATCGCAGACATAAAGACTTAGTTTTTTTGCTGAGGATACAAGAAAAAAGTTTTAGTCTCAACGGAAAAGTCTGTTTAGGGTCATGGAGTCAACAGCATTTTCTTCAATCAATGTCATGACAGTAAATTGACAGTTTCTTCTATTCTCAAAAAACAAATTAACGAAGATACTGAAAAGTCTCTATGCCTATCTAGATACCCTCGAGATCTAGCCATATCTTGATTAAATCATCAATTTCTTAAAAATAGAAAAGACGTGGGCTTACCAATCAATTTCGTTTTATTCAAGTGCTGCATGACGTAGAGAATCATAAGATCTGCTAGACAACGGTATAAAACGAGTAGATACTAAGTTTTGCACCCAATTACCTTGCTATGACAATATTATTACTCTTCAAGTGTGACTTGTTTATCGAACTATATAGGTAAAACGGAATTTCTACAATGTCCAAATTGTAGTAGAATTTGAACATATTTCGAATTTCTAGTAGAAGTTGGAATTCTTGTGGAATGACGACAAAATGTTTTTTTTGCTGGACATTTTATTGGCCATTTTTCATCAGAATTTGGACAATATGTATTGAAAAAAATACATATAGAGGTTCCAGCTCTTTCTAAGTCATTATTTGCTCATTGTTTGTGAAACAAAGAAAGCCACATTCTAACATATATTCTGAATGTAGTTGAGAAATATATTGCCGGTGGAAAGTCGACAATAAAACAAAAATATAAATCATAAAAGCTGCCCAAATTCTGATGGAAAATGGCCAAGAAAATCCCCAGCAAAAAAAAGGTTGTCGTAATTCCATAAGAATTTTATCAATTGTGGAAATTTGCCAACCTTGTCCAAATTTGTTTTGTCGAAATTCCATAGAACCACTATATATAATGCTTTGATGCTTATATTCATCTTCTAGCAGTCACGTGTGTAGCATGGCATCGTCCTCATTGTTGACGCTATTTTATTTTGTTTTGCCATGGAATTATTACAAGCAATGCAATGGTTTACCGGAGTCGAATCAAATCTTAATCAATCATGTTCGAATATGAATATATTTCTACCTGTAATTGCTTAAATGTTCATTTGGTTGCAACCAGGCATGCTTGTTTCATTTTCAAACAAAAATAATAGTTATTTTGTTTGGTATTATTCTCTATTTACTTTTTCAGCGGCTGTGATAAGTTTAATTTTTGGTTTCTACGAAAAAGCCATTGGATTAGAAACTATGTCACTTACTGAGAAGATCAATTATGGACAATATGCATGTACTTTACTTATCATGGAAAATGTAATCATCTTGTATGGAAATTCGCTGTGTGCTCATTCAGTCAAGGGGGAAAAACTGATTTCTTGATTTCTAATGATTTCTGATATGAGAAATCAACTTTTTCCTTGCTAGGAATCATTGGAAATCACAGGAAATCATCAGAAATCAAGAAATCAAGAAAGTAGTTTGTCATCTTTGATTTCCAGTGATTTCTAGTATCAGAAATCAGTTTTTTCTCCCGTGCATTCAATATTCAGCCGACACATTATGTTTATTTTTCATTATAGTCGACTACGTCAGCCGACTATTGCTGCGGGATGGATGATAACATTCTTTGTTAGTCTATGGAATATTTTGAGATATCAATGCTGAATTAACTTCTTATTGATGTTTATTGACTGCATTTGCTGATATTCCTATTATTATCTGTACAATGATACATGTAAATACTATGAAAAAACAGAAATTTGAGAGACAATTATTTTTATTTCTACGATAATTTATTAAAAACAAGTTTTTTTGCATTGATTTGATAAATGCAATTTTGAAACGAAAACAATCGATGTGATAAAGTTTTCTGCTCTATGAGGCATGATTTAGACAATGAAATAAAATATTTTCTCAACTAAAACAGTTTTATCTACTGATGGAAACACACATTTATAACAGAATCTTATTTCTACAGGCTTCTTGAGGGAAATTAAGCCTAAATTTATGATTTTAGTCTTGAAATTTATCCACAGTAAAAAAAGCTTTAATGATAGTTTATCTTCTATAGAGTCGAAAAAGTTTTCCATAGATTTTTTCACTTCCATATCATGATCCATTTTTTTGTCTATCAAACGAAAGGCAAGCCTGCTAATAGTGCCTTGTTGTTTTTACCGAGAGTCGACCATTGAATGTTCGCGAGTGACAGAAAAAAGACTGATTCTCCTGCATAAAAGTAATTTTTGCAGCTCTATTGAGTAATCAGAAGAAATAAATACAAATGATTTATACGGTCATGCTTCTTACAACATCAATTCTTAAAGCTTGTAATTCAGTTTGTCGTCTTCTCCATTCTTTCCTCATCATACGAGTAATAATAAACATTGTTACTAGTACTCCAATCATATTCACAAATAATTCTATGGTAAAATCAGCCATTTCTTCTTCAAGTTGTTTTCCGTTGTGAATACTTGTATTTGTTGCCATTAAATCAAATGGAGGATAGAGCGAATATTGAAAATAACCAAAAATATATCCATAAATATCAAAAGTAAGACGTATTATTATAAAAATCATTAATAACACTACTGATGTTATTAATATGCCAACATGTTCAAACCGTAATGCATAAATTATTGCCGTCGAACATAATAACACGAACAGAGCGCTGAGAATGCTTCGAATAGATACGTATATTCTACGATGTATCATTGAATTTGAATCGGGATATTGAAATATAACTTGTTTTGCATATTGAAATGCATTCGATATTAAATACATATAAAAACAATTAAGGACAACACGTAAATTATTGATCTTTGGGTGAAAACAATCGTTTGACAGCATCTGCCGATGTTTATATGAGAGTGAAAAGGCACATACATGCACATGTATTTATTGGTTTATGAGTCTATTATAATTACATTGAAGGACATATATAAATATAATTCGTGTTTATTTAAGTAACAAGAATTTATCTCGCAAATAAAACATTTATGAATAATGGTCTGATTGACGATGTTAAAAATAGAAATACTTTCGTATGAATCTTATTGAAATAGCAATTTTTATTCAAATATTTGATAATAAAATTATGTCAAGTACCCTTGCAACAGTCTTCCTCATCTTTTTTATGCATGATCTGATTAGCTTTAAAATAGAAAATAAGTTGGTCAATGTTGTCGATTGGTTTATTGACGTGCTTTTTCCAATATTAATAATGGTATGAGAAAGAAAAAAAAGCGGGAGAACAGCTCTAATCAAGTAAGAATTTGTTACATTTGCAAGATGTTTGATAAGACTATATTAGAAAATTCTCAAGGATTCTATTCCTTCTAGATTAATCAACTTGATGATGAGATGAGAAACTTGCCTGCGACTGTCCTAGCTATTATTAAATGTGAACAGCATGAACGGTAATTGAAATTTCTCATAGATAGTTTTTATAATAAAAAGAAAAGTGTTTTATTGTCAATCGAGCAAACGATACTATAATTTTCGATTGTGCAATAGAAAGAATTCGTTTTATCACATAGACTTATATAATTTTAACATGACAATTTTCTTTTTATGAATAAGAAATGAATCGAATTAATCTCTTGTAAATGTGATGCACGAAATAATTTGAATTAATAGATATTAGTTGAAATGTAATACATGATCATACGATCAGTAGGTAACATGGCAATTGCACAAGGTAAACGTCTTAGTGAACGATGACATTTTTATTTTTGAATTGACATCCATTAAATCATAAATGCGATAGATGTCTACTTAAAAGTTAAAGTAGCGATGATGTTTAAAATTCATTCATATTCAAATCTTTCCTTTTGCTATTAGTGAGCTTGATCATCTACTATAATTTGACAAAATTAATCTTTATCGTTTGTTACTTATTGGCTAAATAGAAAAAAAGGTCAAAATTATGAATGAATTTACTGCTCTGCTTTTTTTCTTCGTCTTCTCACTCTTGTCGTGTGTATACCATATTCACATTGCACAGGTATTACATGCTGTGCCACACACTATTCAATAGATTACATAAGAGTAAGCATAAAGTAAACAATGTATATATTCATACATGTATTTCACACATAACGCATTTCTTTCGTTCATGGTTTGAACAAGAACGAACGTATAATATGTATCTTAGGCAGTTCAAGGATATGAGTCGTAGAAGAATTTTAAGCTGGTCTAACAATCCTATAACAATGTGCGAAGAAAAAATTTTTCTGCATATTTACCGAGAATTATGTCTTTTTTTTATTCTGTATTGCTCATATTGTTGTATTATAACTAATAATTATCAATGTTACAAGAACCATTGTTCTTCTTCTGTGTCTTTCTCTGTCTCTTTTTTTTCTATATCTCCTCTTAACATTACGAGAAAATGGGCCATTCAATTTTTGAATGATTTCCGATGCAGGAAATCTTATAGCAAGAAAAAAACGATGACAATAGTTATTGAAGCATCAGCAAATGCTCCATGATTGAATCTATTGACATTGACGAACACAAGAGAGAACGAAGAACGAAGCCTGTTAGCTTTTCTTATATTCATCCATCATTCTCCTCCGTTTTTTTGTTGTTGTTGACATTTAGATGCTTATCAATCACAAACGAATCTCGCCTATAGTATCTCGTCTAATAGACTCATAATTGTAAATGAGAAACCTAGATATAAGTACGACTATTCTCTATAATTATAGTACAAAGAGAATAATATGACTGTTTGAAGTGCGATACTGGGATTGATTGAATTCCGGTACATGTATTTTTCTTTTATATCTCTAAACTTCCTCGTCATTAGCATTTATTAATCAACTCTCTAGTGTAATATATAGTTTTAGAGCACCATTCCATGTAGGAATTGTTGCTGATTATTCAGTATAAAACTAGATTACAAATGGCAATAATGAATTTTCTTGTGTTTGCGATAAGATTATAGCTTAGGAATTTTCTTGCCAGTATCTTTTGGCATAAGAGAGACTTCGACAGATGAAAAAATCTGTTTTCTCTATTTGATAGAGAAAATGTTAGAAACAAAAAGTAATCGTATAAAACATTGGCAGGGCTAGAAGAAAATCTTCTGTTTTTTTTTGTTTGCTTTTTCTTTATATTTACTTAAGATCAATGCAAAACAAGAAACTACTAACTTTTTCTCATCGATGGTCGAATCCTCGATGTTCTTAACAATTTTTACTGCATTCATCTTTTTCCATAAAGCATTCGCAAATGAATTGCGTATTAATACAACATCAGGTTTATTCGAAGGTAAAGAAGTGATCATCGACAATGTTCCGGTACGACAATTTTTCGGCATTCCATATGGTGAAAAACCAGCTCGATTTGAAATGCCACAATTACGAAAGTACAATTCAACCACTGTCATACATGCTACGGAACGCGCACCGGGCTGTCTTCAAGCGTCCGGCGGACTGTCATACGGTCCATTTGAATTATCCGATATGTACGAAGAAGATTGTTTAACACTCAATATGTTTGTTCCGAAGACAAAATCTTTGTCACCAAAAGCAATTATGGTCTTTTGTCATGGTGGTTCAAATCAAGTCGGTTCAGCATCATTATTCGATGGAAGTGCTGTTGCCGCCTTGGGCAATGTTATTGTTATAACAATAAATTATCGTTTAAATATATTAGGATTTCTAACACCAGGACCTGATGTCATGCCTGGCAATTATGGTTTACACGATCAAATCTTATCGTTAAAATGGATATCGATTAATGCGAAACATTTCAATGGTGACCCGAAACGTGTTACTTATATCGGGCATTCAGCCGGCGCTGCTAATGCTGTTCTACTGGCCATGTCGAAACGATCTGATGGTTTAATTGCTCGAGTTATTGCACAGAGTGGTTGTCCATTGAATCAATGGTAAAATAACACACACAATATATTAAGTGTATTAACACTTTTTGTTTTGTTTTTTTATTAGGGCAATTGATAGACATCCATCTGTACGTTTTAACAATGTTGTACAACGTCATGGTATGAAACCGAAGAAAAAACTTATGCAATCAAATATCGATCGATTGAAAAATATATCTGCCGATGATTTTCGTTATATGTATCATTCAGGATTAGAAATCTCACCAGATTATCCGTAAGAAATATTCAACTTTTGTCTTTTAGGAAAAATAAATCTCTAATTATTGATTAGATTTCCAATTATTGATAATGATATTCTACCAAATGATCTCGAAGATTTAATTCGTACAGGGCCTCTGGTCAATATTGATGTACTTATTGGTGTTACAGCCGACGAAGCATTATATTTTGCTGAAGAACATATATTCAATCATTATTTACCCAAACAATATCGTACGAGTCCATCGTTAACAACTACTCCAGCATTGTCAACAACCAAATTGAATGAATCTCATACAGAACAAAATCTCATTACAAAATCAATTGAAAATGAACACCCTCGAGGATTTTCCTATTTTAGAAAAAATCGATATATTAAAAATTATTTAAAAACTAATTATCCAAATCATCTATGTTACTATGAAGAAATTCAACGACGATATATGCCTAACAGTAAACATCAACAGAATGTTACGGAAACTGCTCGTCTCTATACTAATCTAGTCAGGTAAATGTTTAAATTCGTTTTGTGTATAATTCTTTTATCTGTTTCTTATAGCGATTTAATGTTCTATTATGANGAATGTTACGGAAACTGCTCGTCTCTATACTAATCTAGTCAGGTAAATGTTTAAATTCGTTTTGTGTATAATTCTTTTTTCTGTTTCTTATAGCGATTTAATGTTCTATTATGATCTTGTTCGTTTTCTTCATGAGCGTTTAAATTCAAATACATTAGCATCAACCTATGTATATTATTATACAAATCCGCCTGTATTCGATCTTGATAATTTACTTCGTCGTATTCCAAATCTGATTGGACATTTTGCTGAACTTGATTTAGTATGGGGTATTCCATATTTTAATCATAAAAATCGTACTAATATAGCTTATAGCATGAATATATCTTATAAACGCGAAGAAATGGAATTAAGCTTACAATTAATTCGATATTGGACTAATTTCGCTAAAACAGGTAACGAATTAATTTATTTTCTTGAGAAAAAGAACCCAATTTCTTTTAGGAGATCCAAATGAACCAGAATATGTATCTGTTCATTGGCCGCGATATGAAAAAACGAAAAAATCTTACATTAATTTGAATGCATATGATACACAAACTGAAGAACAATTTTTTGAAGAACGTTTTCAATTTTGGAATATGATATTACATCGTCCGATATGTACACCTTTTCAGTGGTATCATACATGTTTACTTATTGGTATACTTGTGTTAGTTGTTGTTTTATTAGCAATTTATATTTTTTATAATGCTAAACGATCACGTCGAAATATAAAACCAACGGACATAACCAATAATGACATTGTGACTACTTATCGTTTTCTGCCTAGTGTTGTCTCTTAATATTATGCATGTCTGTATGTGTATTAATTAGTAGTTCAGACTTTCATTTGATTTATTATACTAAATAAGTTAAAGTACTAGAGAATAAAAGTGTATGTCATTTGGTTGTTTATATATCCACTAAATGAAATTCTTCAACATTTTCTATCCAGTCAAATGATTTTTTCATCGATGCAACTAATGAAAATAGATAGTAAAATAGTTACTAGCTCGAATCATAACTACTCTGATGTAGCTAAAAAACTATTGATGGATGCGCGCAGATGAACCGCATTTGTTACTCATGTATACTATGAAAGAAGTGGACAAATGATTAGAATTCCATTCAGCCATGCACAGCTTACAATGGAACATGATGCATTTGGATTATGATCTCGATGGAGTACTTTTATTTTGTGAAGCACAATCTGAAAGGAGTGCTGAAGTATATAGGGTAGAACTTTGGACCCATCTTCCCACAGACCGTGACAGAGAAATTAATTAATTAGTTAGTTAGTTGGTTAGCTAATTTATTAATTTTTCTGTCACGGTCTGTGATGGTATCTAGAGACTCCATACATCATAATACAGACAATGATAGAGAAGCTCCACAGACCGTCACAAACCTTGGTAGACGGATTTCAGAAAAGGAGTTTCATCGTGTTTCACATTTTAATCCCACAGGGATTGCGCTAACAGCTTTTTTTTTTATCTTGTGCGACGCACTGGAAATAGGTAAAGATATAGGTTAGATACAGTACATATTTTTTTCTTACGCTAATTATATTTCTATCACTTGAGAACGCGTACTGACGTGAGACAATTGACTTCGGTTCGACCAGAAATCGACTTGATCCGATTGAGATCTGACCTTCATAACAATAGAAATCCGTTATATATGGCAACGCTCTTTCTTGTAGTCCTCTTTTCTAAATCAAGAAATATATTGACATGTTCCNAGAGTGAATTAGGGTTCTATTAATCAATAAGAAACTTGATGATAATCGATAGTAAAGATTTTAAGAATCGATAAAAAAAGATCTATATAATAATCAATAAGAAAGGTTTTAACAATAATCAGTAATATTAAAAAAGACAGATAAATGAAAACACAAAGAGCGAATGGAGAAAGGAAACGAACTATGCAATTTGAACTGAACATTATTCATCATTTGGATCAATCACAATGAACACAATACATTATTCTATACTTCATCTGATTATTAGCGCCAACTTCAATTAAAAAAAACGTTTATATCGAAAATAAAATTATATATATAAAGGATAGAGACAGGCCAGGCGGCCTGGTGTTTTTAAGCCGCCTGCCTGGCTGTGACAGGCCAGGCCTCAAGATCATGGCCTGTGCCTGTCACAGGCAGGCAGGCAGGCCTAGTGGCCTGGTTGATGCTCTGTTAGATACAGTACATATTTTTTTCTTACGTTAATTATATTTCTATCACTTGAGAACGCGTACTGACGTGAAACAATTGACTTCGGTTCGACCAGAAATCGACTTGATCCGATTGAGATCTGACCTTCATAACAATAGAAATCCGTTATATATGGCAACGTTCTTTCTTGTAGTCCTCTTTTCTAAATCAAGAAATATATTGACATGTTCCGCTATAAATAACACGAATATCAAACTAATGAATACCTTGAAATACAGGAATTTTCTCTAGACTGAAACGATAGTTTAGAAAGGAAAATTTACTTGAGTTCACTTGTCTGTAAGATGTACAACGCCGGACGACTATGGCAAAATGGATCACTAGAGATTGGTGTACTCTTGTTGGTGAGGGGTGTTCAAGGACTGAGAATTAGGAATTCCATCTCAGTTCCCCTACAGTTCATTGCATACTAAAGATAAAAATATGGAATATTCACAATAATTTTTGTTCTTACACTCATCTTCATCTACAAAATTGTGAGAATTAATAGTTCCGTGCACACATTATTTAAAAAAAGTAATATCGCGACTTTCGTGAATAGTGGAACTGTGAGCGAACCAATGATTGATTCCCATTTTCTCTAGGAATTATCACAGCGACACTGGCAATTCCTCGGCAAATTTGAAATTCCTATTTATCAGTTCTTGGACACTGCTGGGCAGTCACCCTGCGTTACAGACATTAGCAAGCATGCAAAAAACTGAATAGGACATCTTTTTACCGACCGATTGTCTTGCGGTATATTTCACACTTTATGCATTGTGTACCAGTAGAATTAGGCGAAAAATCATATGTGAGTTCCACAATTTAGTCCCAAAAGGGCTTCGCTAACAAACCTTTTAATTGGAAATAGGAACAGTATGGAATTAAAATTTAAACTACTAAACAGGTACTCTAAATTAACGCAGAAATCGATTTATTTTCTCCCTGTGCGTTATGCACGTTCGTCATCGTGTTCATTACGCATCGAGTCATATTTCTATATTTTGGCTTACTGTACAGTCTAGAACTTCAACAAGGAAACACTTCATATATATTTCAATCAGATGTTATTTTACATAATCTTCGATAGTCCCTTGAAATCATTTGTCACGATCTGTAATTGTATGAGCCTGTATGCCATAGAAAGTAATGGTTTCGGAGTCCATGCCATTACAGATCATGGCTGAGGATTTCAAGAGACTGCCATGGTTAGTGTATTCTCTAGATTTCATCGGAACTTATGAACTACTTCCTCATAACCATTATATGCCATCAAGTGAAGGATGAAGAGGGTGGGGTGTAGGTGCCTATGTTTTCTTAGCAAATGCCACTCGCACCCAAACCCATCAAAGAGCCTGTTTAAAATTTTCGTAAATTTTCTACGAAGCCTAAAAAATATTCAGAATTCATTTCAATCTGATAGGCCATTTTAGGGTTTTGTATCACCTGTAAAACCTTTGTTAGGTTCGGCACTATGCACGATACCATTTTTAGCTCACGAAATCATTTGTGGTTCCATAGCTAATGTTCCATTTTTTAGTGTTGTTTTCACTCCGAGGACAGCCGTATTCAAAAGGTTTATTGTACTGTATGCATACACACTAAATAAAAATGCGCCGACTTTATGTGGCGCGAATTTTTGTGTTATACTCTCTATTAGAAAAATGTGTCGCGAATTTTTGTGTCGCGCTTATAATTAAAAAAAAGATGTCGTATATTTTTCGCGTTCTGTCTGTCGACTAGTCGTTCACCGTTTTGTTATGAACATACAGCGACATATAAGCAGCATCGCTAACACATAAAAGATAAGTTTTCAAAATAAAATTTTCTTTTCAATAAATTCTTGATTGCTTTTCAATCAAGGAAATGCCACCCCGATCCATGATCTGGGAAGGACTACACTGGATGATCTGATGGGAATAGGACCAATGCCAAATCAGCCAGATCTGAGAATCTGATGAGATTAAATTTTCAAAAAATAAGGAAATATATTAAATTAAATTCAAAAAATATTGAAATATGCGTTTCGAAAACGACCAATAGAAAATGTGTTGGATGTGTTGTGAAAAATGCGTCGTCGTCTTGCTGGACAGAATGTGCCACAACGAGCACCTCGTGTCTTGCTTTGTGTCGTAGTTTACGACACATCCGACACATTTTTATTTAGAGTGTATGTTTATGTAAATATCAATGTATATTTTATTATCGTAATTACACAAAATGAAAAGGAAAGAAAAAATGAAACGTATGTGACGATAAGTGAATTTATGATAATATAACTACGTACCTGATAAAAAATGTCATGTCAAGTAGATAAATGCAAGTTGTAAAGCCCAAGTCATTTTTTCAACAATAAATAACAACCCAAAACTGATTATAAACACACAAAATAAATTTTTACACGCCAATATCACCCACATGTAAATGCGAAGACCAAGGGTAACTACAAATAACAAAAATATGAATAAACATGAAGAATCAAGTATATAAACCATCAGGAAGAGTATATGATTGAGTGTGCTTATTTTACGTAACTAATGGTCTAGGTTGAAGTAGCTTTGATACGTAAAATTCTTG